CTATCCACTGCTGAGCCATGATTTATCCATTGCTGATTGAAGGCCCCCCCACTTCTATACTACCCCTTATGGCCCTTTGATACCACAGTCCATCTCACTCCTGCAAATGAGCCGATGTCATTACTCCATCTCCATGGTAGTTGTACTCTCGGGCGAATTATATCCTTTGGCTGCATTTCCATCACCAGTCCATTGACCTTCTCGCGATTTATCGTGTCCAAGCCTACTTACTTTTCTGATTTGTATTTGTTCTCCGATCCGTGTGTTTCTCTGATCCTCAGTGTAATTCCAAGCATGTATATCTCCATGCCTCTTTGGAGAGACACCACTGGAAAGCACGATGAAGTAAGTATATCCACGGCATTTTTTTTAGGGTGGACTGGGATGAAAGTGATAAAATAATGAGGCGAGAGCAGGATGGAGTGCTTTTGAATTTGATAAAGAAAAGCAACATGTCAATGCGCTTCAAGAACGTTTTAAATCTGATGATTACCTGCTATGGCATACAGATTGGAAATAGTGTGCTGTAGTTACTACTATAGTAAAATATTTGCAGTTCTCGACTGCCGCATCCTTCCAGCCTTGCAGGGGGCGCAGGCTGCAGTATGGATACCGTGCAGGAGACATTTTAAACGTAAGCGGGATCGTCAGTGCCACGTTACGATGACAACACATTCATACACAATTTGAAACAAATTCCTAATACCGCGTTGAATAGACACAAAGACAGCAGCTGTCAGTGCAAGCAATTCGTGCACGCCAATACTGTTGAAATGTTTAAGTGCCATGAGTGTGGCTAGGGGGGTATAAGGACTACAGTAGTTTTATTTATTGTGGATCGCAATCCCAAAATGTTGTAAACCACTGCAACAATATTCGACTTACATTCACGAGTTTGTATTTTAACTAATATGGATTTAAAAAAATAGAATAGATGCCTCTATAATAACCTATTGTGCTATGGGTGGCGTTCCAGTGTCTCTAAAGCCTCAGAGGATGTGAGACAGCTGTGTGGATGAGGCTTGTGATCACCACCCATCCGGGCAGTGGTTAGAGCTGGCATGACTCACACCATGGCCTCTAATTTGTTTCAGCATTACTGCAGTAAAACTTAATTTCTCCAAACATGTGGCTTCTCTAATAGGTGGGTCCGCAACAAGTTTACATACAGCTTTTCATATATTGCAGACCATAAACACGACGAATTGACAATGCGCACTTTTAGATGCACTTCTGCAGCTGTCTGGAATGTTCTTCCTTCCGACATTAAGAAGCCACTGGAGTTATGCACTTTGAAATCTAAATTGAAAACCCATTTCTTTAGAACTGCCTTTCGTGTTTAGTTTCTTGTCCTTCCACCGCACCTCTGATTAGCAAGGTTGGCTACGTACGGTGCGAAAGAAGTTCAACATAGTGCATATCAGTATATTATTAATGGCCATGATCGTAAAAGCAAACACTCAACATATCGTTATCTGCATTTCAACATTGCTGCAAAGGTTCTTGCAAATGTGATCCTGTAAGAATGTTGCCTTCCTCTCATCACAGGCACAACATCTGTAGATTTGCAGGGATTTACGATGTCTCTTGTTGGAAAATCGTGGGCAAAAGTCAGTGAGGATACAGTAAATAGCATATGAGAGCCATGTGGAAGATCTGCATGTGCTAAGCCTTTAATACTGCAAATATTTGGCAGTAAATCATTTCCTATATCTACGGTCTTCTTAGGGCACTAATACTGTCTTAAGGAATTTTGAGGCAACCAAGTGATTGGATGCCAGATGTATGCGTACGTGTACCCATGCACATGAGTGACGGATTCTCTTTGGTCAAGACCACCACCAGTTCTTCCCGAATCTCTTTCCTCCGCTTTTTATTCAAGCAGCAACGATAATTCAAGAAACACAGCTTGTAAAGTCAGTGAAATCAGTTTAACCTGTAGGCTTTCGCAAACAATATTATCCATAAGATAGTTTTTTGGGTTAGATCGCGTAAATATAAATGTGTCGTTAAACCCGCCACCAACCGACGCAGTGTAATCAACTACTTTAAATGTAAAATCGCCAAACGAACCCCAACACGTCGCTGGATCTTGACTTAAAGCTTTCGTGACTGCAGAAATTCATATTCTTTGGGGTTTTCGGTAAAGTCACGTAGATAGGTTCGAAGAAAATAACAATTTTTTTTTTACAAAAAATTACGACGTTTCGATCACAACACAAGCGATCGCCATCAGGAGGAAAACAGATGTGATCGAAACGTCGTAGTTTTTTTGTTATTTTCTTTGAACCTATCTACGTGACTTTACCGAAAGACCCAAAGAATATGTCGCTAGATGTCGCTAGATATACTGTACTCCATGAGGTCATTAAAATATGCCGCTTGACAATTTAAATTCCAGGAAATCGCCCGTTCGATCTCCCGTCGAAACAATGGGCAAATTCTCTAAATTCCCCCGCCTCTGTCCACCCAGCAGTGTAAACTACAACCAGTTAAGTCGATCGCCAAGGTCGCGTGTCGTGGTCTAAAGTGTGGGAACTTCCAACAAGATGTCTGGTCAGCGTTGAAGAGTTGGCCAAATTACGCTCTCGAGAACGTCTCTATATAGATTTCGCCAGCAGTGGCATGAGCATTTGCAGGACTACGCCTTTACGTTTCAAACTTTACATAGACCTCAGTGTTTTTGTACAGAGTTGCTTTTTGCGTTAAACGGGGGCTCCATAGTTTATATGGAGTGCTCCTGCAAATGATGCCTTGGAAATTCAGCAGTATGTATTAAGCAAGCCTGGCCGCTAATAAGATCCAGAAAGCTGAGCATGTTTCTGAGTTTGCTTACGTTGAACAAATGCTGCTTGATATTGTTTTGTGGTACTGCATTAGCAGTGGTGCATAAGCACAACATTCCACAAATATCAAGGGGCATGCCCCAAATGTTAGTTATATATGAAACCGGTTCAGAGTTTCTTGTATTTAATCAGTGCTGCTGAAATCATGGATTCCCTGGATTGTGAAATAAATATTTGTATTTTTACTCGGATACAGTATATGGAGACTTTTATCTATTTTGTATTGTTTCCTTTGAGAAGTGTTATTGACGAATATTTTGTGATGATGGTCGAGAAAGTAATTAAGGCTGATGCGCTTAAAATATTTGAATGTGATAGATAAATAACGACATTGTGGATAATACTGAATAAGTTACAAAATACATAAGCAGAAAATATCATTGATTAATATATATGTTCCTCCACATTAACAAAAAAAGATAAATTTACACATCCCATCAGCCATATGGCTTTCTGGCCGCGTTGAATTTACACACAACTCTGGACTGGTTTCCAGTCTCTCATTCGTCAGTCTTGCTTGCACTACTGCTGGTGAATTGGACATCTGTGAAAAAGAGCTTTATAGCTCATTGGATTCCTCCAGTATAAATAAATATGCTGATTCCGAACTGCCATATGTCTTCTGGAAAATGTCAGTTTTAAGTTTATTATATTTGTCAAACGGATGATCCCCTTGAGCCAATTGCCAGATATGTTTTACAAAGGGAGATCCGTGGTGCGTGTGCACAGCAGCAACATCATAACAAAGGCAAAAAAACACATTCCTCCGGAGGGAGCTGGTAGGAACGTTGGGTTGCTCGGTCAATGGCCAGGGTCAACGGCGGCGTGGTGTATTCCGAAAATATGCCCGACTGTGAGGGCGTGCACAAGCCGGCGTGAGTAGGTTAAACGTTGAGTTTTATAAGGGCACCACGGGGTGACCAGCCCCTCCCCACCCAGCCCCACCCTCCCCACCCAGCCCCTCCCCACCCTCCCCTCCCCACCCCACCCAGCCCCTCCCCACCCTCCCACCCTCCCCTCCCAGCCCCACCCAGCCCCATCCTCCCCTCCTCACCCAGCCCCTCCCTCCCCACCCTCCCCTTTCCACCCAGCCCCACCCCTCCCATTTTTGGATTCACAACGAACGGACGGACACAATAATCCCGTGTGGGCTGATGTAACCAGGAGGTTACTCCCAGTAAAACCCATAATCAATATTGCAGAGAACGACCACCGAGTCCTAAATGAATATTGCACAACTAACAAACGAGGTAACGGTCGTAAAGGAGCCTCTCTGGAAAGGGCCCACTCAGTTAGAAACTCGTCCATCCATTCGTTCCGAGGCTAAACGAATTTACATTCCAGTAAAATTGACTAAATTCCGTTGAAACTTACGGTCAGGTTCACATCCCCCCCTCCCCCCCTGTCCATGCAAGAGTGTAAATACGCGACACAAAAACATTCAATACGTTAACAGTGGTGGGCTCTGAATGGAATTGTCCTTTATGTAGAATGTGTGTACAATGTATATATTGTATACAGAGGGGTGGTGTAGCGGTTAGCGCGCTGTACTTCGAACCCGGCCACCCGAGTTCGATTCTCGCTTACGGCCAAAACCATTGACGGTTATCTGAACCAGTCCTGGGCCTCCCGTAGGTCGACTCAGCCTCAAATGAGTACCTGGTGCGGTGTGTAAACACCGCCACTGGGGGGATACAAAGACGGCCCGGCGTGGTGCTTGCCACTCACCCCTCGTGCGCCGTGTCGGCCTTCATAGGTGCTACTCACTAATAGCACTCGCCCCAGCAGTCTGTCTGGTTGTGTTTGTATATATGCACACACACACACTCCCCGGGTTGCGGAAACCCCGACTTACGGAATTACGGACTTACGGAAACGCTCCAAAAATTACGTGCCCAAATCGATAGGCGGAAATATTCGCGTTAGTTACGTAAGCGCGGTGAGGTTGCGGATTAAAATAAAATTAATCTTGATTTTTTTTTTTGGTTTGAAATTTGTTCAGTTTCGCACATACGGAAATTCGGGTAACGGATCGTTCTCGGTTAAAAAAAATAATTAAAAATCGAACCCTTCCGTAACCCGGGGACTGCGTGAAGTGACGTGGGTCCGGGAGCCGCCCAGTGACCCCGCCTCAGTGAGAGGGCGACGAGGGAGGAGGCACCCGGGACCCCTCCTCCTCTTCCCTCCTCCTCCTCTTCTCCCGGCCCTCCCCTCCCATGGCGGCTCGGCTCCCTCTGCCGTCTGCCGGGCCCCTCTGAACTATCCTCAACACACAACACAACACACAACAACAACAGCAGCAGCAGGAGCAGCTTCCCACCATCTCCCCTCCCCACCTCCATCAGTCGAGCTCGGGCCGCCGAGAAACGGTGTGGGGTAGGTGGGTGGGTGGTGGTGCTGGTGGTGGTGGTGCTCCTGGTGGAGGTGCTCCTGGTGGAGGTGATCGGTGGTCAAGGCGGAGGAACAGCAAGAAGAAGAGGAAGAGGTGGTGGTGGTGGTGGAGTAGAAGAATCCTCGCAGCTCGGGCTGGAAGGAGGTGGAAGTGGAGCGGTGCAGGAGGATTCCTGCCGAGGTTTGTGCTTGTGTGGTGGGTGCCCGTGCCAATTCGTCTTATCTGCTTCTTCTTCTTCTTGCTGCGTGGCGACGCACGCGTTTTTGAGCGGTGTGTTTTTATTGTAATTCTCCGTGGAGATCTGTAGTCTATTTGTTTTGGTATCGTGTCAATGTCGTGCTTTGGGAGCCGCTTGCAACCGGCCTAAAGCTTTGCCCATCTCGTCATGTGCGGAAGTGCTGGGGGGAAATGTTGTTGTTTTGTATTGTTTTGGCCATCTCCGTTACGTTGTCATTTTTGCGTCTGTTTTGTATGTTTGTGTGTGTGAGTGTGTTATGAAACATTTTCACAGTAAGGTACTGTGCTCCAGTGAATGTTTTGGAAGGTGGTGAGCAATATTATAATGGTTTGATGATGATAATTATACAGTCCTGTACAAGCGTTTATTATTTCCCCCGAAATGGCTGCATTGTAATGTAATGCCTGTGTGTTGCGAGACTATTTTCACGCTCTACTACGTTGGGTTCTGTGAAAGTGTTGTGGAAGGCGGTGATGAAGACGACGATGATGATGGAATGATGCTGGAACTGTAATGCAATTACAACTTCGACCACAACGCGATTACACTGCCCACATTGAACGTGTGAAGTTACAGCAGTTGTCTTTAAATAATTCGTAACAAACTAAACACTTTTGTCAGTCACCACTGTCTTAAAGAGGGGAAAAAATATATCTAAGCGATGGTTCGGGCAATGGTCCTACATAGCAAAGATGTGATTTGATCTTGCTTTTTTCATGTCTGCACTTGTGCTGCTGTCATTGCAGTATCACCATTTCCCTTCCCTCCCCTTATAAGAATGAATACACCAAGTACTGTACAGTGGTGTGTGAATAAGAATGAAAGTAAACACAAGCGGCTTATAAAGTCGTGAACCGTGCTTTGGAACGACACTTTAGTGATCCGATCTGGTTACTTTCCGTTATTAAATGTCATGAAGCACTTCTGTTTTTTGCTTGGGGTTATGTTCTATATCAGTTCACCTTACCACACCACGTGGAATGTTATTTAGCTTTTTCATTGCGTGGTTATGTTGAAGGTAGGGTATAGTATTCTGCGCATGCCATTGCAGTATTGTACTTGCTACACGTGCTTGTTTGTACCTGCGTCTTTAGTTTGTGGACAGTAGTTGCTTTCTCTCGACCTGATATTACTTGACAAACATTTGAGATGTACAGTAATGGCAGGTGTACAATAGTTAGAACCCTCTGCTACATGGACTTTAGTTGGCACTGCAGGTATTGGATTATCACAACTAAAATAATCAAATTGTTTACACAGAAAAAGAAACACGTGCAAAACCGTAAGTGCCGATGGGAACATAAAAAGTTATTTTTTTCCCAATGAGTGGGGAAGCTGGTCTGGTGATCAATTCCATATTGTTGATTCTCATTTTAAACTTTCCGAACCAAGACCACTGCTGACTTCTACCAATAAAAGCCGACAACACTCCCCTAATGACTAATACGGTAACAGTTAAAGAGAGGGGTCAAGCATATCGCTGCTAATGTGGACATTTGCAGATTCGCTTCTACTGCGGCCGTCTGGAACGCTCTTCCGATATTAGGACGCCACTGGAGCTATGTATGCACTTTATGTAGAAATGATTTTTGTGTTTACCTACGGTGCGAAAGAAGTACAGCATACAGTACATACATTTGAATGTGAACATTCAATCTCTGTACATTTCAGGATTCAGAATTAATCCTTTTTTTGTACAGTGCTGTAAAATTAATGAGGTAGGATAGCAAAATGTTACGAAGCCATATTAGAGGCATGTCAAGTCATTGATGTTGTCGTCAGATTTTCATGACTAACAGCTTTGCCTGGATTTGTCTTTATTCACCTTTGATCTTGGGATTTGGAGTTGACGCAAGGTGGAGATAAATTACGAATACAGTTCTATAATGCGCAAGAATCAAATAATTACCCAATGCTCAACTTCGAATGACCATCAACAAGTGACAACCCATATCACGAAACCTCCATACGACGAAACCTACAGCTACAAAGATTGCACGTTTGCACATCATCTTAAATAAACACACAGCGTTTGCAGTAGAAGACACGTGAGTTTTGTGCATGCCCTCGAGCAAATATGCTGTGGTCGTGTGAACAATCAAAACCTCCATAGTCAATGTACAGTGGCCATTTGTGTAAAAAAATTAGTACGGTTCTGTATATAACATCCCTCAATCGCCCGCTGTGTTCTGCCCGCGTCTGTGAACGATCCACAAATATTGCACGGCGATAACTCGGGTCGCGTTGGAGTTGTTCGTGACTTGTTATGACCCAGTGGCAAATTTGGAGCAGTGCAACAAAAAACACATGGTAAGCTCCACCACCACCAATCCACTGCTCGATAAACGCCTCTCTCTCTCTGTAGCAGTGTCAAGTCTCGTGGGGGTTGGTTTGATAGTTAGACTCCTCTGCTTCGCCATGCTGCTCAAGTGCGGCTTTAGTGACCCCTGAAACGCTGGGTTCAGGTGTCACTCGCCACGAAAGGTCACCGTTGCCCGGAGTCGAACTCTGTTCATTGGGTTCATGGTCGAGCGGGCACCGACCAACTCCACCAACGCTCCACATCAATGGCAATAACAGCCACAGCACTTTGGCACGTAAAGTCTTGCAACGCAAGCTGACAATGGTTGTACTTTAGATAGAACTTTAGAATTCGCAGCGTTGCGTAATTGCATGCATTTTTGAGTTCCAAAGAGATTAGTTCCAGTATTTTTGGTTAAATAGTAACGCTGCACACAGAACTGGGGGGCATACAATATTTCAGTTGAAGTAAGTTCCAGGTTTGGTATAGTACTGGTACTGTAGTTTACAAACAACGATAATGGTGTTTACCTTGTGAGAGAAAAGAGAACGGCGTCAATGTATGAAAAGTGATGAAGCCAAGCAGGCATTGTGCTTCATATTCGTTGGGATGTCATTTCGTTTTTGGAGGACGTTCGATTGCCGGCTGTGTAATTAACACTGCTGCAATTTATCAGGAGCTTGCTCAAGCGTAATTCAAGGTGGAACGTGTTAAAGTAAAGTACTGTATACACCATGCGTGCCAAATGCGCAATTGTTATGTGACGGCAGTTCTTGAAGTGCGCAAATTTGATATTGGTGCTTTCGCAAACAAACAGCCTGGAAGTTATGAAGTCGTTTGCCAAGGGCAATCTGGTTGTTTACACGTGTTTAGTGCCTTTATTTGACCGGATTACTATACAGTACACACAAACACCAGCAATTGTATCATTGCGGTTGTAGTTTGAGGTTTATGAGAAGCATCGTTATATATTTTTTCTTCTCGAAATGCATATGCGGTCAGATGAGAAGTATTTCAATGGAGAGGAATGCAGTTCTCGTTTTAAATATTAACAATGCCATTATGTTCAATTACGCTGCTTGAAACATTTCCGTGCAGTCATGCCATGAGCTAAGTTGCCGTAAAATGTGGCCACTGACAACCAGCGCCTATTTTCTGGATGTGCAGACAGACACAGGGGACATTATTTGATCTTTACTGTAAATAGCTGCAGAAAAACATTTAAAGGCCAATGTGGTCACCACAAACACTGTTGCCAGTGTCAAGGATTTGTGCATGGTGATGCGTGTTCAATCATTTCATTTTATTTGGCCCAGCGTAAGAGTTGTAGCGTAGCGAAAGTTAGAACACGCACTGGTTGTACACTGATTGTCAAAAAATTTTAGTTGATTGTCATAAAATATTGTGGTGCAGTTGTGTGGCGACAATAGAAGGGAGAATGTTGCAGCTGTGAAACTATGGCACAGTTTTGAAGTTCAGCACACACAAATCATGTAATGATGCATAATTAGCCTTAATTGTCATTAACTTTAAAAAACATAGACAAATGTATTATTATTACCGCATTATGTTATGCCAAGTTACAATACATTATAATCAGATTTTTCAAATTGAATTTTTTCTGTTTACGCATAATATTCAATTTCTCTTTGCTTTACAGTAATGTAGATGGAAGTAAATGTGGAGCGATGGCACATTGGTTAGCACACTGCTCTGGACCCGGCAACATCAGTTTGATTCCCGATCAACCCAAACCGGTCCGAGCCCCCCCCCCCCCCCATTCTTCACCATTGCACACTGAACACTGTTAAGTCCTGTACAATATTAAACAGCCCCCTTGAATTATATGGCATGGGACTTCATCCATCAGCGGATTGACAGAGGGTTGTAAAATGTTATTATTGTAATGTCTTTAATATCAGATCTTGTGATATTTCAATTTGTCAAGATATGAATGTGTAACTGAAATATAATCATAGTTAAAGTAAATACTGTAATGCATTCTCCTCCACAGAGGTGATAGAATTGTTATTAAGATCAATAGAGGAAGCCATATGGCACATCTTTGACTATTTGGCATTATGGGTGCAGTCATTTATTATTTACGTCCGAAGTAACGCATTAGATGCTGAGGCTGTGTTCAAGGAAAGAGCCGAGGTGCTGGCTATGGGTACAAGGGTTGGTTGGCCCTTGGCACACATTTAAGCTTGACTGGCAGCACAATGAAAGCTCAATGTCCTTCATCATAAGGGATGTTAAGATGTTAAGTTCACTGAAAGACATGCCATGAAGAGGCAGATGAAATGTTTACCGTGTTGCCTCGACATTCACATTGTTGAGGACAATTTGTATCAATCTGTACGGTATTTCATGTGGACATTTTAAGGAATATTGATTGTGTTTCGCATTTACCCCTATATCACATATAAGTTAGCATGGTAGATTTATTTGTGTGCACATGGATGAAAATGTATCATGTTAAACACTTTAATTAAACGTCCTTCCCCCATAACTTCGATTAGCACGGTTGGTTATGCATTGTGCGAAATATATTCAACATACATTCATTCATTACCAAAAACTTAATTTGTGAAATATCATTGCTTGGAATGTAATAATTTTCCAGTAGTTACACCTGAATAAGTTAAAGTTTGAAAGTTGAAATTGTGGTTGTGGGCATCACTTGGCTTGGCATTTCTGTTAATTCAGCATATTTATAAAAAAAAATAGAGTTTTTGTACCTTATATAGGTTGAGATTTTTGCCATCTGTACATGCATTGGCTTGGCTATTTTCATCCATTGCATAATATGCACGACTGTACTTATCACATCGCATACGTATGTAAAATAGTTGTAATGTTGTATGCTGTTCTTTTAAAGCATCGCCACATATTTTCACGTCGTCACTGAATGTGGTTAAACGCGTTTATTGACAGGTTGCTTATAGGGCAACACACATGTAAGTTTTATACTTCAGGGCACTGTTCAAGCCCCTCTATTATACTGTGTTTAAGCTCCTGGGAGAATGAGAATTTATACAATTAGTTTCCATGAAGTTCAATCACTTTAAATGCTATAGCTCAGTGGTGATGGCTCAATTATGAATGATTTTGTGGAGTTACACAATTTGTCTTCACTTAATTGAGCAAGGAACAATTTCCTAATTAAACATTTGCACTGGACTATAATCAAATACAATACAGTAAAGAGAAGGCATGAGTAGTTGGCACAGTGTTGATCACAGTTAGAAAAAAAATGGGTTAAATAAAGAGTGCATTGATTCAGTATTAGACGTTTTGTAATACGTTTATCTGAGCTTTACCTGGCTTAGTGTTGCCTTGGGGAGCTCTGGAAATAAAATGAGGATCAGTGTTTTTCTTAATTCTGCCTACTGTAGTCAGCACATCAGTAATGACCAAAATACCAACAGCATTTTTACAAACTTCCTCCAACCAAACTACCAATGTATTTTACGTATAATACTTTACAATTAAAATAAAAAGTAATAGCCTTACATAATATTCCAGTATACCAATACAGTACTTTCCAATGGCATAGATTGTCGAAATAAAAGGACCTCCCTTTTAGCAGAATAAAATTTGCACTTAGATGCCATCAATCCTAATTGTAAATTAATAAAAGTGTTTGAAGCAACTTGACATAACCCACTTTATTTAAGGATATTCTTATGAAATACTCTATTTCATAACAATGCATTTTTATCTGTAAAAGCTGACGAAGGCTTATAACAATTTTTTTAGGAGAGCCATGCAGTGGAAAGTTTGGTCAATTGCATAAATACGCGTTGGGAATGTGAAGAGGAAACTAGAGTGCTCTGAATAAACCCAAAGCCATGCAAGGGGATTGCAATCAAAAGCATTGCACAGATAGATTAAAAGATTGCATTGTTCTACTACCATCTTCTGGTCACCTTCCAGCAGAAGCCTACAGCACCTGGCATTCTTAGACACTCTCCCATCCAAGTACTGTATTAGCCAGACAAGCCTGCAAAGCATCGCAGGATCGTACGAGATTTGGTGCATTCAGGGTGAGTTGGTTGTGCATTGTAAAATGGAGTGGAACCATTATACAGTGCTGCACTTGAACTTAACTTTAACTTGGCATGATACATGAAACCTTTGCGAAGTCAGCTATGTTTGTTCCTTAAGGGAGTTTAGAGAGACATGTTTGGTCATTGCACCCAGCACTTTTACTAACATAAACTTGCAAAGGCTATATAAATATCTGGATCTAAACCTGAAGTTGAAATGTTGATATGGCAACACTGTTGTTAAAGGCCTTGGCAACTGGCTTGCATGTTGAGGGCAAATAATCTAGGCTTTTGGTCTGCTTTAACCACAGCCGCCCCTGTATAACAACAGTGGTATGCCATTAGTAGTAATGACAAAGTATTGTGGGTGTCTTGTTATAGAACAGGATGTTCCTTGCACGCAACACTCCTACTGTAATGGGTATATGGATTACATACATTCGTTATCTTTATAGAAACTGACAATGCTCTAATTGTTTTTAATTGCAAAATCTACTTGAAGGCATAGTTCATATAGGCGACAGGCATTTGTTGGGACCTCCGTATAACATACATTACACAACTCTGTCCCTTCTGACCTATTTGCCATGATTAACAAGAGCTCCAAGTTATTTGCATAGCAATTTGTACGACTACGTGAGGTTATTGTTAGAGGCACGTGAAAGTTGGCCATCCTATGTTTTATTTGCTTAAACAACCAAATACAGTATTACTGCATATTTAGCTATAACAAGTGTGTATTGCACACTTGCATTTTAAATAATGTAACTTTGTATTTTACATATTGTTACCAAAATGGTTCATGTATGCATTTGTAGTAATTATATTATACATTATTTTTTGTCTTACACGTTGCAGTATTTAAACTTATCTAAGGTGAATAGTTTTTCACAATCAGTTATCAGAAAGGAAACAGTGGCAGCTGTTTTTAATGCCTTAATTAATGTAAATGCTATTTAGATTAAGTAGTGTACTGTAAATAGATATAGTACCATTTTAAGCCTGCAGCCTTGATAAGAGGAAGAGTATGCCCTTTACGCCACCAGTTGCAGAAAATAGATAAGCCCTTGAAAAAGGGTCTTGTGATATCTGCTCTTGCTCTTGAGTATCTTGTAATCGCGTGAAAGTGAGATTAAGTTGATCAGTTTAGCATATTGTTAACTACAGTCCTGAAAGTGTGTGAAGCGTCAAAGTACTCGACTGTAAAAGGTGCTTCATCCACAGTTACAGTTCTGTGTTTTCTGCATGTAAGGTGGATGCACACAGTGCCATAGTATGTAGAAAAAATAACAGTGAAGTTTAAACAAAAATGATTGCATACTACACGTAACGAGGACGAAGAGCGTAATGGATTTTATTTTTTACGAAATTCAATATATTTTATTTTCCCACTTAAAAAATGTGTTTAAATCTAACAACTGATCGGATGTGCTCTTGGTAATTAGTCACAAATACAACCTTTGAATGAAGACGTGTACTCTGGAGTGATAAGTACTCTCTGCCATTAATTAAACTGAGCTAATGAGGAAGGCTGTGCGGGATATAAATGATCTGGAGCAGTGTTTTTCAACGCAGTACGCTGCTCATGTGTTAGTTGTTAGGCTGCTGGCTCCACAGTGATCCATTGTGTCTGTCTTGGCTTCTGGCTGCCTTCCCGCTGGGCCCACGCCCGGATGGCCGGCCCTCTGACGGGAAATAGAGCATGACCTGCAACCTTGGGGCAGGATGCGGTTAGGCCCCCTGACCTCACAAGAAGATACGGCCTGAAAAGTTTCACTTGCTGCGCTCCACAAGTTTGACCTTTGCAGCAAAGGTATCATGATACAGTGAATGTTAAGTGGCCTCAGCGAGGAATATGTCAAAATGACTTGTATGTACTTTATTTTGTCCTCTTATGTGCAGATAAATGCCGTGTGTCCACCCAGTTTTCATCTATTATTCGATAATTATACTTAGCGCTTGGATCTGCGTGGTTGATTGTTGAGGTTACGTGAAAGATAAGGTGTATGCCAGAAAAACCTGAAAAGCCTGAGTGATCTTCATAAGCACACAAGAGAAGCATTGGAACGGTCACACCCAAGATGTTGGAAAATACCTGGAACTCGCTGATATCTCGTTTCGTGGCAGACACGTGAATCTTTCGAGGGACGACACTCATGCGATTAAAATGTTTATGCTGACAAGTCTATGTTTATATTTTTCATCAACCTAGCTCTAACTGCTGCCTATAATTATTTAATAAGGGATTATACCTTTATGGACACCCTGTATAGATAATGTAAATTCCAGTAAATGATCATGTGTGTTAAAAGACTACGAGTTGCTAAGATAAATGGACTCTGCGATATTTTTACCCTTATTGTGTTTTGCAGGTTTATCATGGAGCATTTTTTGTTCATGACGATGCTGGGATACATAGTCATCTCAAGGTTGCACGTTCAGGCTGAACCCAACACAACCGATAGTGAGTAACACCCGCTCAAATGAGTGGAAAAACTAAAAATGTAAAAATAGTTTTGTCCAGATATGTATTAAAAACAGGGATGGCCAACCTATAAGAGACCAAGTGCTGCAGAGTACCCATGACTTCTGCAAAGAGCCAAGTGTATATGTAATATTATATCATACAACTTTAATTGCTTATTCTTTGCTACTGTGATAATATGTTCTACGTTATGCCCCTTCGATAGAGCCGCATGTGGTGGATTAAAAAGTTGCCGCATGTGGCTCGGGAGATGCCAGTTGGCCACCGCCTGACATGAAATGTAAATGCATTTTTTATGTTCTCATTAAAGCCATGTTTTTCAGCTGTATATTTTATGTTTCATGCATGTCAAACTTGTTATAGTTGCAATGCAAAATGTGAAATTGCAATGAAGTCTGCCTTTATTATGTTTTTGATAATGAGAAGCCAATGTCGTATGTGCCCTAACCATCTATTTATCTTCATTTCATGAATAACATCATGTTGCTCAAATTACTACTGACATATATCCCCTTTCCCAAAAACCATCCCACCCACCAATCCATCCACCCACCAATCCATCCACCCACCAATATTTCACTCTCATAGCGGTAATGGTCCATTCCGTTGCCACCCAAATATCTCGACTGACCTCCACTGCGAGTGTGGTCGAAACACACACAACTCGCCACAACGTCATCTCCGACAGCACGACAGCCACGCAGCCTCTCACCACTGCTCCTGGTCCCGACAGTAACTGTAAGCAATCAGTTAATTTGTAATACAATGACTGAGCCAAGAGGGTTAATTGAAACTTTTAGATAAGTTGTATTTCATTTGAAGAATGTCCGTTTTGTTCAGTATTCCTTACAAACCCTACCTTTCAAAAAAGAGTACACTGAAAATGGATTAATATGCATTGTTTGATGTTTAGTGTAGCAGTTTATTTAAATGATTGTTATTTTTATTCTAAATTTAAGTCGCTGAAGGTTTTCTTCATATCATGGTATTCATAATAAGGGCTTGATTTTCAGTGATTTGGTATTTTTCCATTGACTAACATTAATATTGACGCAATACAATACTCAAGGTCCTAGTAAATGATAATGTGAAAAGTAACGATTGTTTTTTTGCATCCCTGGTTGACCAGCCTTAAACAGCGGGTAGTATTAATTACCTTCACAGCTTTAAGGATCACATTTTATTGATGAATATAAATATTACTCATGTCCTAATTTCAGTATTTGTATTTTATTTGTCAGCAATAACAGCGGCACATATTTCAACTGCACGGTCTCCCTTTACATCCTTGGCACCTGGACCACATTTGACTGGTGGGGCGACACAATTAACCACAACAGGAGCAAAGGCATCTACGCTAATGCCAACCAATGGGTCGGCAGTAGATAACTCATCAGTGCCGACAGCAGCAAGTGGCATGACCACTGCTGTGCCAAGCAAGACACCTGGTGCGACAAACCCAACCACACCTGTAGTGACTTCCAAGGTACACACAACAAGGACAGCAACAGACAACAGGACAGATGCAATCAATGTAACAACCTCTACGCCTCGGCACTACTTTAATATAGTCACGAAGAAAGACTACCTGTCACAAACAACACCTGCAGGTGCGTGGCATTTCCATTGTTTTTTCAGACCTTTCAGTGATTTATTTTTTAGTGAGAGCACATCTTTAGTTTTTGGTACCAGCGTGTAATTTGTTACTAAAATGTTTTTTCTTGTTCAACAGATACGACTACAACGTCAACACCAATATCACCATCTTCTGATAGTAGAGGTAAAGCATACTTGAAGAGGCTGTTATTATAACATGGCCTGTTGCAAGTGCTGGTTATTTAATTGTACTAATTATGTCTTGTGTTTGTTGTCTGTCTTTTCCACAAAGATTCAATCATCATGGCAGCCTGTGTAGCTCTGGCCTGCATTTTGGTAATTGGAGTATTCATCATTGTCCTCTACATGTTGAGGCAAGGAGACCATTTTACTATCAGCTGAGCCATTAATATATACAGAACATACTTAAAGAGAGCTTTTCTGTAACAAAGATAAACAAAAGTAATACATGAACTAACTAATCTATATTTAATGTTTAGCAATGAAAACTGTTCTGTTTCATGCTGTATTTTTACATTCTTATACCGTTCTCCGTGTATTTCCTCTGAAGATTTCGTAAGTACAAACACAATGGAACCAACTCGCTTCGGCTGGCCAATGGCAGAGGAGAGGACGCAGGTCTGAATTTTAGCATATTTTATATTCTGTGATGTTACTTTGAATACAATATAGTCTCACAACAGCCTACAACACCTGTTTAATCCATTGTGGGTGTTCATCTAAGGACAATCCAGGCTCAAAACCTGCTTAGCTTAAGATTTGACAGTTTCGCGCATTCCGGGTGATTTGGTCAGATGCTGCATTGTGTGCTGCGGAGGGCTCTGCAGTACAATCCATTGTTGTACTGTACTTGTATGCTGCCACATGCTTTCCACCTTCATTGGCCGACATTGACCATTGTGAAGTATTGGCAAATAACCTCCACAACCTGAGGCCCTCATCCAGCAGTGGATAGACTGAATGGCTGCACATGTGTATGATACTTTGTATATGTAGGCAATTTTACTCTTGTTTGCTTTTGTATTATTTATTTTCATGTTGTTACTGATGACTCAATGTTGTGGAAAGTTAAAAATGACATACATTTCAGATACTGAATAATGAAAATCTGATATTTTACATATTAAGTCTTTGTGAAGCTCGGCTGCTTGATTTTATTGTTTTTTAGAATATAAAGTATGATATTAACTTTGCACCGTATTAAGACTGCGTGTGCCCCTTTGTTATATTGAGTTTTACCCTTTTCGCATTGGTATCTTTGGGAATCTTGTGGCTAACTTCCCTATATTGTTTCGGCCTAGGTCGTATGTGCTGTGCTCATTTGAAGTGTAATGGATGGTGCTGTTCACTGCTGCTGTGCATGTGCCTGTTTTCAGAGATGCAAAGTATGCCATTGCTGGCGCGTAGCCCAAGCACCAACCGCAAGTATCCACCGCTTGCAGTGGATCGTTTGGAAGAAGAATTTAATCGCCGAAGCGCAGATGACAATAAACTCTTCAGAGAAGAGTTCAATGTAAGTGAATGGTAACTGTATCTTATCGTGGTCAATTTCTATGGAGGAGGCTGTGCAACAAATGGCAACTGTGCAATTACAACAACTCCAAGGCATATTCTATGGTCTTTCGGTAAAGTCACGTAGATAGAAAAATAATAACAATAAAATAATAAAAATGAAAATAAAATGAATAGAAAAATCATAAAAATATCACGACGTTTCGATTGCAACACAAGCGGTCATCGTCAGGTTTGGATGGTGCTGTTCACTCCAAGGCACTTTTGTGTAGAATAACTGATACATGGCAGGGATTAATTATAGCTAGCTGGGTCTATACCCAGAAAAAAATTCATTCTGCACCCTGTACAGCACAGCAACAGTCATAGCGAGAAGTATCAAGGATACTAGTCGCATGCCTATTCCAGTCTACCAGTGACCCCGAAAATATACATTGAGAAATTAAGCTGCTGACACAGTGTGTATTTTATTTGTTTAAGAATATGTGATTTTTGTGAAATAGAGAACACAAATACACATGTCAAGATTTGTAAATAAAAACAAACTAGTTCGTAGTGTAGCCGACTTTTTTGAAGACTTTTTGTATAGTTGGAGAAAAAAAAAAGACATTGTCCCAAGTCCTTTTGTTGGAATATTCGATTTTTTTGGTGAAAGAAAATCTACGTAAGTATTATTGGTAGTTAACATACTTTATATTTTTGCAAAGAAATATTAGCGTTATTGACAAAAAAGTGAAGGCATAAATTAGCACAGGTTTGGAAGAAGTGTACAAAGTGAAACTCATCTTAATTGTGACTGGTCATATCTACTTTGTTAGTTGGTCTGTGATTCAACCCATTTTCAGCCTGTCAACTTTTATATCACCTTCAAAGTTATAGATAAAAATGTGAAAGGAGATGTGAATGATACATTCATCCTTTTAGTTGCAGTACCTGTGGATAATAGTAATGTTTTGGACATTTAGGTGCAAAATTCATCCTGTTTTTTATTATTATTTAGAAATACTAGACATGATGATGACAACAGTGATGATGAATGATGATGACAACAACAATCGTAGTCCCTGCCTGCATCATAAATCAGTGCCGTCACGGCCGATGATGGATAATAATGGTGATGGCAACAATAACTATAATAATCTTTGATCGATCAAGTCACTGCCACCAAGATGGGTTAGTGGGATGTAATGGATCAGCACCCTGAGAGGTTTGCAATCATGTTGAGGCTCACTTTTATTCAACAAAATGGATGTATACATTGCAAATCACACAGATACATTATATAAGTACAATGAGCACGTAGTGTGGAAGAGTAGGCCACAATACACTCTAGTCCAAGCCCTTCCACCACCAGCAGTGACATGAGCAAGTATTTGTAGAGTTCCACATTTACCTTTGCATGCACACAAGTACTTAATTTACAATGTTTTTTAATATCATCTGTGCTATGTTTTTTTCCATCCAGTCTCTCCCAAGCTGTCCAATTCAGGCAACCTGTGAAGCTGCCTCAAAAGAAGAGAACAAAGAAAAGAATCGATATGTAAATATCCTGCCATGTAAGTACAAAAAATTATTTTCCAAAAATTTATTTTTGTAATTCTACGATAATTTTTGTGTACCAAATATACACACATTTCGTGGATGTTACTACAAACAGGGACTTTCTTTTTTTACATCAATTGTCAGTGATGTTCGCCATGGCCCGTAATCAAATTCAGGGGACTGGGTGCATTGTATACTGCTCCACCAGTGGTAATCTATACTGCTTGGATAATTTCGTTTATTTACAACAACAACAAAAAATTGTTCAATGGTCTGGTGGCTATTTTTTTTAAATGCAGACACATGACCATGCTCTTATGTCTGGTTGTGATCCTATGTACATTATTCCATTGTGGTTGATGATACAAATGTATTCCACAATTCATATAGTGTTTGAATGTAAAATATATCACACAATTCAGATAACATTTGAATTTAAAATGCTGTGCTCATATCCATGCTCTTATAGGTTTTCCCAAGACGTTATAAGTGCAAACATGTTGATTTTATGCCTGAAATGCATTGGCCACTATACCTGTCTGTGGGCACTGTATAATTCAACCATTAGTAATTCCATTAAAATGAGATTCCCATGTTGTATTTATGTTATCTCATTCAAATTCCCAGGTATTTTTTTCTGTAAGGAAATTCACTCCTATCAGGCACCATGACAACGTTAGATAGCACAGCCAATAGGAGGTGGCTTGTCTTTGCAGTCATTCTGCATATGCCAAAACTCTGTTATTCCAGCTTGTTCCACTTTTTATTGTTTTAACAACTTGTTTAATTTTTCCAGATGATAACTTCAGAGTCCACCTGACATCATTGGAGGGTGTTCCAGACTCTGATTACATCAATGCTTCATATGTTAATGTAAGAGTAATATTAACTTTTTAACGTGCACTTTTTACATAAAATGCTAAAAAAGGCTTTGTAGTTAAATACTAAAAATAATTTGAGCAAATATTACTATGTACTGTAGATTTGAAAAATGTTATTCATGTGACCTTACTACCAAATGTAAAGTAATTGCTCACATTTAATGGTTAGAGTTGCTTTTATTTTTGTCATAATGCGTACATCTATAGCTCTTTCATCAGTTCTGTTGCTGTATGATTGCCTTCCCATGCCGAGCAGGTCGTGGGTGGGTTATTTGACTATACTTTACACGGGTTTGTGCAAGGTGGTGAACGTGGGAGTATAGACATTTGAGTATAGCACGATAGATACAAAATTAGATTTTTTTTAACTGCCCTCTGCTGAAAATGTAGAATCAATACCTGTTTTATGCATGGTGGATGCCTATCCAACCACTATCCTGGCACAATCCAGCTTAACTTCCATGATCTGATGAGATCGGGTGCATTCTGGGTATTTTTAGTCATTGGTTTTTCCATCAAATATTTTACAATTATGCAAGGATGAATTACGTTTTACACTAAATACAGACAACTATCTACACTTTATTTTCTAACAAGTTGGAAGCCCAGTAACTATAAATGTGATAATATATAGATTTTAGTCTCAAGTGCTAAGCTAACCACATTTGGGTCCTATTTCCCTTATCAGCTCTCTGGTTAAACACTTTCACTGACGTGTTGGTGCAACGCACACATGCAAAACGCCTACCCTAATCTCCTATACAACAGATGCATGCCAGCGGGAAGGCACTGGCCTATCGTCCAAACATGCCCATGTCACATTTTCTCATCTCGGCCAGGAGCATTCGATGGTGTATGAATTATGGCATATGAGATTAATATATTTCTGCATCTTGCGGAAAAGTCTGCACTGTTACATTGGGTATGGCAAGAACTTACGAATGCTGTGTGTGTACACATTTTGTACACGTGGCTGTTCCCATAGCATGAGTAGGTAATTGTGTTTATGGGATAATAAGTTGGCACTGCCATGCTGATCATGCTACGTCTTGGGGAATATAACAGTCATTTAAAACATCGGTTTAATAATGCATTCCGAGTGTATGTACTTTAGTTTTCACGTACGAAACTTACTTTTGTTTTATTCTCTTACATTTACTGTGCCAAACATAATTGTTACATTTTGAGAAATGCTGACAATACAATTTACTTAAGTAAGCTTTCCTGCCTTTTATAGCTGTTTCCTGAGCTAAGGCTGGTTGCCCACATTATGATTCATACTTCATATAAAAAAAGTAATCAAAACACAAATGAACCAAAAGTGAACTAAAAATCAGACATGGTTGTTGGTTTTATTTTTTATGGATATATTTCATTTATTCAATTATAGGGATATCAAGACAAGAACAAATTTATTGCAGCTCAGGGTGAGTGAAACTAACATATCAGTAATAATCCTAATTACTGTTTGCTAATATATAAGTTATGTTCTTAATGTGTGCAGTCTTGAATAATTTTCCTGTTTATTTGTTGCTGGTTATATTTATATATCGATATCATGACAATACCTGTTTAATTTGACACTGAATATTTTGGTATAATAAAACAAACTTTGGCTCACACTTTTGTATGCTTGGTTGTTTAAAGATAATGGATATCGCATCTGTGAGTCGGGATAATAACCAATTAGGGGTGTAATGATGCAAATATATATTCATTAATGTGTTGACTCGTGTGTGTTAGAATCAGTCTCTTTTTGGTTTTCTATTTTTATGTGCACTAGCTTCCCCATGACTTCTGTAGTCACTTGAGACCATCTCATTCATTTAATGTTAAATGTATCTATCTTCTTGGTTCTTTCGGTAAAGTCCGTAGAAGGGAAATAAAAAAATAAAAGAAAAACATACTATTATTTTATTATTTCCCTTCTACGTGACTTTACCGAAAGAACCAAGAAGATGAATCCCTGCAGTCACGAAAGCTTTAAATCGAAATGTATCTATCCTCAAGGTGAATCACGACCCTGAACCACAATAATGTATTACATTGCAAGGGGGTGAATAATTAAACCCCTGCAAATCGTTCACAAATACTGTTAAAGGCTAACTACAATATACTTTTCTTGAGAAAGCATACATATTATTAACTGTTAAAATTCTATTTTCATTGCTTTACAATAGTGTTGTAATCATCATTCATTGATAATGGTAATCTGTTAGTAGAAATATATATATCTTTAAATCCTTTGCATTATCCTTGGTAATATAATCTATATATGTCACTCTGCTTATTGACCCTTGACCTCTGTGCTCATCGTTAAAGGCCCAAAAGAGGAGACCCTAACTGACTACTGGCGGATGATCTGGGAACTGAACACTGCCACTATCGTCATGGTGACCAACCTGAAGGAAAGGAAGGAGGTAATTTGCAAGGAAATTCACTCGCCATCTTACAGGGAGGAAAATCAAATGCCATTTCCTCCCTACTTTTTTTTTTAAAAGCGTGACTCACTTTGAGGCCAATTTGTGATTTAATTGGTGTACACATGATCTTCACCGCTGAATAAAAGTTTCAAGCAACTGCAAAGTGTTTGACACAGCTGAGTAATTTTCACATGTTTATTTTTTTAGCGTGATTTTTATTATTTATTGCAAAGTAGTCAAGCATGGCTAAGATGCTTGGCTGAAAATAACTAAAAGAGCAGCACGACTAAATTATTTTAATAGTTCAAAAGCAGCTCCCCAAGCGAGGTCTGGGGCTGAATAGCCTGTTGACCGGCCAGTTCACCCAGTCATGCTTCACAGTGCATTTAATTGAATGTGCAGCTGTTGAACTCGAATGAAAGCCACACACCCATAGCTTTTAATTTTGAGGTTTGTCCACTTGGCAACTGAAAAGTTGTCATCTTATTTTCCCAATGTGCTTCATACCTGCATACATTTGTGAATGTGCACATGTCTATGTACAACCCTCTTGCGTAAATTAATTGCTGGATGATGAATCTTCCCATGCGCATGGATTATGAGTCTTATTTGCCGATACTTAACCACACTTGTCAGTGAGAGTTGGTGAAGGTGAGGAGCATAGCTCTTCGAGCTTAGAAGTATCATACAACAATTGACTTGGCAGCACTTCGCTCCACTGCCCATAACCCCGCAGCCTATAACATCATCCAATCACTCTCCAGGCTTAACTCCACTTCGCTTCTGATATTTTATGAGATCGGGTAAATTCTTGGTAAGCTCGTTATAGGGACGTTTGTGAATACTGAGCAGAAAATGTGACTTTTTCATATCAACGTTTACTACAACTTACGACTATGTGCTGCTTTGGCGTATTGCTCAGTGTTTCAGTTAATTATGATGTTTGAAACACCTCTCGGAGTTTCACAGTGAAGGGCATGTGTTTTAAGCAGGATCATTTGCCTTACCGTGCCATGGAAATACATGATTGTTGTGACTGATTCATCAAACGGCAAATAAGAGTTTATTCTGCTAAGGACCGCCAGTGATGATTACAAAAGAGAGCTTTAATGTCAGCGTTTTAATACCGTGCAAGACTACATTATTAATATTCATGTGAATAAACCACTTTTTTTTACACACTGTCTATGTCAGCTGCCTTGGAATTCTGCTTACTGTATGGAAAGTGAATATAGTTGTTGGACAAGACAATGCAGAGTGTCCATAACCTCAGCATCCTTACCCCCCAAGCATGTTGCCCTCTGCAAGACCTACCTTTCCTTGAATTGTTGGGGGCCACCTGACAAGGCCATACTTGGCAGATTAGATTTGCCCATTGCCAACAGGAGTTGCAGGTTGTCCTTGCATCATTGACTGTCTTTATCCTCGTAGAACTCGGTGTATAGTTCAAAGGTTAATGTATTTGTATTTACGAACACAAGCCCCATGCAGAGTCTGCATTGCTCCTCAAAGAGAATTTCCATCAGATTCAAAGTTTGTTAACACCCATCATTCTTTTGCTCCCCCACCCCTTCACCACCCCAACAAAAACACATTCAGGAAGTCTAAGCCTTTTGGAAGGTGGGGTGCAATATGACTATTTTTAATTTTGAAAACTTTGATAGGTGGCACATCCTGCCATTGTCGGCAATAGCCTCACGTAAAATAAGGCTATACTAGAAATAAAAATGAACATTCACAGTGGATGTTGAAATTGCGCCTTATGTACTTGAAATCTCCAGAGAGATTATTAGGAATAATGACAGATCGTGGTTTAAATTAGACTTGATAGAATGTATCACGTAAGATGCATTATATTAATGAATTAATAAAAAAAAGTAATGTAATGATTATGAAATGTGCCGGAGAGTGCTTTGTTCACATATAAAAGTCAGCCTGCGATATGTGCTTTTTTATTGCTCTTATGATTTGAACAGAATTCGTCCTCTAGTTTGATGTCTCTGTCTCTATCACGCATTGTGGTTCCATCATGCTCTCAGGGCTACTATTTGCGATGTACCAACAATTAACCAAACGCATGTGGTACATTCTATATGACTGTATTACCATGCTCTCCCATAGCTTGTCATGAAATCTTCAATCACCTTTATCATCTTATTTTATTTCTTTTGTGTTTCCAGCGTTTTTGTACGGTCCCTTATTTGGCATTTTCATCCATTTATAATATTTTTCATTTTATTCAATGTACATTTGTTGTTTCACATGACTTGGTTTCTTTTTTTTACTTTGTGACCCCCCCCCCTCCCAATTTCAGTCCAACACACAGCGCTAGTTAATTCATTATTTAACTGATCAATGGGTAATTTAGAGGCCTACCAACCATTTGAGCAAGTTGGATTGAGAAAAGTTTTTGTTTACCATTCACCACGTACATTCTATCAATAAAATAAATAAAGGAAAGTGTCATCAAATTCCATTCTACCTGGCTTTTTAAGACTAAGAAAGGGCATTTTTTTTCAATGTAAACGGATGCAGTCCTACAGGCTCCCACAAGGAGACCATAATGAAAATATATAGAAATCATCAAAGCCATTTATAAAGATAGAACAGCTGCATTGATGTTGAATAAAGAATGTAATAAAATTCAAATCAGAAGAGAAGCCATGCAAGGACATGAACTCCCACCATGGCTATTCACAATGACATAAGATATATTCGGAAAATTGTATTGGAGAAATATAGGCATACACATGAATGGAGAGAGCATTAACCATCTTTGATTTGTTGGTGACATAATGATTGTAACAAGCAATGCAAAATGACTACACAAATTGATGAAAATACATAACAATAAAGGCTGTAATTTTGATTATTTTGTTTGCTCATAAATAGGAGCAAAACAAAAATCGCATACAAGTTCGCGGAAAAATAACATAATTGTCAGAGGGAGACAACTGGAAAACACAATTAGAGTATTTATATATTTGGAAAATATCGAAGGTGAACCGAGATAAAAAAAACAACAATATTACATACAGCAAGTTTGGAATGCTTTTTATTAAACTGATTTTGTAAAAGAAAAGCAACATATCGATGTGAATAAATATTTATTTTCAATCGGCCCACAATGTTGTGGATCATAAACATCGTCACTGACAAATGGAACAATAGTTGAGAGACGAAACTGGTGATGGAGAGGCGGTCAAAGGAATGAAGAATGCCCCCGATGGGGCGGCCACTGCGGAGATTGAGCAATAAGATTTTGGCACGTGCAAGAGTGAGATGGATTACGACATCACGAGACTATAACACAGCGGTCGGGAACCTATGGCTCGCGAGCCATATATGGCTCTTTCAGTGACGGCATATGGCTCCCAGACAATTTTGAGTTGAAAAAAATAAAATAAAAAATCAGTTTGGAACTGATTTTAAAATACTTGTGATATTGCTTAATAATACTGTGTCATTTATAAGTAAACAGAAATTAGTTTTGAAGATAAATTTCACGGGTCACGGGGCCTCAACGCCTGCATGAAGCTCAACCTCACCACGTATGAACCAAATAGTAGTGTAAGGCCATCAGCAAAACCACGCGGCACCAGAAGTCGCATTAAAAGTAAGACATATTTAATTTATTATACGTTAAAAATACTATATGGCTCTCAATGCAATATATTTGGCTTTTATGGCTCTCCCAGTCAAAAAGGTTCCCGACCCCTGCTGTAAGAGATTGTGACAACGTGCGGAGAGGGCTTCATCTAGCAGTGGATAGGTCATGGCTGTTGATGATGAGATGATGGTGAAATATCAGTGGCTAACAGGCTGGTTCATGTTTTTTTCCCGGCATTACATATAAAAGGAAAACAACAAAGATAATCGATAATTGGTTGAAACTTCCACATAATCTCATATCTTTAAACTCAACTTTTTAAAATGATATTACTTTCGCAAACAATGAAACATTTAAAAGAAACCCAATTGAACATATTAGTGGAAAACTAAATGGCATCGGGTATTTTGGAACCTTGTGTATGGGCAATCAATCATGACTGCCGCGTATTTCCATGGCATGCTAAACTCACGTTAATGCTTGGATTCATTCATATCCTTCATACATATACGACATTTGAACCCTTTGGTAAGCATAATACAATATGAGGGTTTCATAATGAGTGACCATGTGAGATTAATGCTATTTATTAATGGTCATTGTCAAGGCTATGCTTATGAAAACACTTTTTGAGATGGTGACTGTTTGGCTCTAGTGTAAAAGTAAAACGTTCTAGGTGGCTTTTGCTTGTGTTAACCTGTAATACAACACATCTGCCAGACTTCTAGGACCTTTGCATAACTCTACCGGTTTATCCAGTTCAAGTAAGAATTCTCACCAAATAGGCAAAAGAATGTCATTAAAGTTGCTTGCAGGTGGCTCTGATAGTGTACGACTTGCAATCTGAAGGTTGTATATTTAAATCCTGGTTTGGGGGGTTGACTTAGCCCATAATATGGCAGGGTTCGATAAAATGAGTAACCTTTTCGGGATGTCAACAGTGATTTTATTACGGTTAGAGTTTAACCTGCCATAGGAATCGGGGATTTCCATTACTGGCTCCGAACTAAATGACCACGACCCCGATGTTCATTTGAGCAGATCTAGAATGTTCAAAGATGTTATTAGAATAACTGATTGTTTTAAGAACGTGCATTATATCCTTCACAAAATAGTAAGTGCGGTCTAAGTACAGTGTACATTTTTTTGAATGCTACATCATGCAGGGTTAGAACACATATCTTCTAATCTGGTGTGCTTTGGAGAATTATTTTTGAGGTTTGCATTGTGTGTTTAGCAATGATAAAGGAATAATGAAACAGGCATTATCACACATTTTGTGGTTGTCGGTTTGGGCTGCGCCAGAAAGAAAACGCCGATTTACATTTGGTTGCTGCTTATCACACGTACCAAAAGCCCCTGTATCTAGGAATGTAGGAAGGCAACTTGGGTGGGGTGTAATTGTGAGGTCTTTTGGGTTCCTGTGTCACAAGAGAAACAGGCTGCTTGCAGCAGGACTGGGCCAGACAGGGACAGTATATTTTCGAGCAGGAGTTATATACACCGTTAAGCATGAAGCAGAATATTTATTGCACGAATCTAAATCATCAGCCATGATCAATCCACTGCTGGATGAGTGTCCTTTCCCAAGCTGCAACCACCTCTCACAATGCTGCGATGTCATAATTTGGCTGGCATTTGCACACGGACTGATTTAATTGCACCGTCTCTTGGGTGGATGTCTTCTCTGGTGTGGCTGGAACTCCATCGTTAATCTAAATGCCATAGTGGTTATTTTCATACCATGGTATATTCATTGGTGCCTGTTGATGAGATGACTTGCAGTTTTAACTTAACTGAAGTTTGCCTGCTGTAGTTATTACTGCAGAAGATTTGTTTTTTTGTACTATTAATGTTAATGTATTAATTATCAGCCATAATCAATCCACTGCTGGATGAAGGATCCCCAAACCTCAAAGTCTGTGGTTTAAAGATCCAACTAGCACCTACAAAAAAAACTAGTTGTCTTTAAAAATTATAAATCTCAATCTGAACTTTTAACATACATGTACGTTGAGCTTTAGGCAATCGTGCATTGTATTGCTTGTCAGTACAATGCTAAGGGATAGGATGAATGACCTTTCAGGACATGTCAGAAGTCACTTCCCCTGAATAACTAAAAGTGATTACTTGAATCACAGTACTTACAATATCTACTTTAGTGCCTTAATTAAATTCATATTAAGGCACATGTACAGCTCTTGTGTCAATCCACTGCTGGATGACATCCTCCCCATGCCACGTGGATCGTGGAGGTTATATTACCAGATTTCACCACCCTGATCAATGCCAGTTGGCACTGCATGCTGCTAACAATGTAGCCCAACAGCAGTCTGCATGGTGTTCACCCATTTAAGCACTATCCAGGATCAAGCCTGCTTGGATTCCAACATCTGACAAGATTGCGTGCTTTCCAGCTAATTTGGTCACAGGCAAATGAACAATAATCTAGGCAATTAAAAAATACATGTATTGCATGTACCGTCATTGCCACTTTAATTTGTTAAGTATCTGTGAACTGAACTGGCCATACGTGATAGTTTCGCTAAATGGTGCAAACTTTTGTCCTTGCAAAATAATGTTCTGGTATGTGCCTTTTAATTGCAAGTAAACAATTACATGGCTTATTTTAAAATAGCCTACATTTCAATATATTATCATGCAGGTGATGGAGCTTAAGTACATTTAAGATCATTTCAAAAGCGTTTGAACATTATTCTCATGTTCCAATTGGCTCACTGCTCATGCTAAGAAAATACATTTGCATTTATTGGCATATCAATGATCAGCTGATTCGTGTTTAAGCAAAAAAGAGCCTGATGTTCTTTTTCAGATAAAGTGAAGTTGGGCAGACATTGCATTTTGTTTGAGTGTCTGCTTCCATGGCTTAATTGGTGCAGGTCGTTAAAGTGCTTAAAGCTTGCAGGGCTGTTTACCCACGCCATTGCAGCTCTGCCCCAGGGAGATCTCTAATGACCAACAATATGGAGCAAAGTGCTTCCTGTTTATAACTTAATTGTCTTGGTCAAAAGGAAATGTTCATGTCCTTTTTACGAAGACCGTTAAAATGAATATACGTAAAACATGAATTTGGAAGTGTTTTTTTTACGTAACTTATTCGTACTAACTTTGTGATGTTCAGTATTTTTAATATATATACGATTCTGGCTTGTATACAAAGCACGGTGTCTTCAAATTTATCAAGTGTTATCCATCGGCAGCCTATTTTTGACTCCCAAAGGCAGTACACAGTCTACTACCAGGCAGGGTGTAAAGAAAGAATATCCATTGAGAGATTGTATTGGGAACCCAAGTGATGATTCACATGCACGTTTTCTGGACCAAAATAGGACTTAGATGTTCATGTTTGCCGTGACAGAAAGATAGACATGGTTTTGAACCAGAACCTGCCCGTTTACAACAATCCAACTCGTGAAAAAAAGTTTAATAGTGATTGGCTGCAAGCCTCCGATCATCAGCCATGATCAACAATCTCCTGGATGAATGCCTCCCCAGGCCATCATCTCTCAATCCTACGATGTAACAATTCATCTAATACTTTCTCTCAAGCTGATTTTATCCCTCCATCTCTTCGTTGTAGACATCCTTTACAGACACGTTCCCTCCCTTGTCTGCCACTATCGTTATGGACGTGTCCTGCTCAATATATGCCTGATAGTTCTTGTTTAAAACTTAGGTCATGCATCAATGCCACGCTATCTCTAAAACAAATGCCCATTAACAAAACGGTTTGGTGTGTATATCTGTAGCAATCCAGTGATGCATGCTCTACACTTACACAAATATATATATTTTGGCATGATTTTAGGTTACTCAATGTGAAAATAGTTAAAAATGTTATTACATGTGTTTTATTTAGGCTGAACTAAATTTTCTTCAATATAACAAAAATATTACAAACCTTTTACCAATTACTGGTAAAGTCGCAATATTGTATTTTAATAATCACTCGCGTGAAATTTCTAACGAGCAATTGTCAGGCCTATTTAAGAATGTGTGTTTGTCTGTAAGGCCTATTTTGTATTTATACTATTCTCTTCACTGTTTCCATAAGTGTTGCAATATGTATAACTTTGCTATTGTAAGTTGATCTCACAAGAGGAAGTATTAGGAGCAGTGGTCAAATGAAACTTTATAAGCTACAAACCATATATTTTTCCCCACACTAAACAAATGCACGTTTCAACCAGTTTATTTCACCTTGTGTCCTTTCGTGCCAGTTCTGCCTTATGTTTAAACCATAACACATTGCTTACATGGTTGTCTGACCCTCACTCTCCCCTTCCTCGCTGTGTGTAGTGCAAGTGTGCACAGTACTGGCCTGACCAAGGGTGTTGGACATACGGCAACTTACGGGTGTCGGTGGAGGATGTTACCGTGCTGGTCGATTACACCATCCGCAAGTTTCTCATCCAAGTGGTGAGATTTCTGCAGTGTGCAATTCTCCTTTTTGCCTCCACTGTCCCAGTAATGCATTGCCACCTTGTGGTGGATGACTTGAAGTTGCTTTTTCAATCAGGCATGAACGGGCCTTGCGGGGGTATATTGGAAGTCGAGTGTAGAAGGTAAAGGTGCAGCCTTGCAATTGCTTGCTTACATCATTGCTAGCGGAAGGGCCTCCTCAAGAGGAAGCTTGAGAGAGCTCCTGTAAACGGTGTTTAGTCTACTCTTCTACCCTGGCCTGACGTCTTGGAAGAAATTTGAGTAGCCACATAATATCCCACACACCACACACGTGACCTGCCACTCAACAAACGGTGGAGTTACCCGTTCATGCTCCTGGGTTGGACAGAGGCGATTGAATGTAATTAGCGAAAAATTGCAAGATTAATACTGTTTATTTTACTTGACCATAACGACTGTTTTTGTTTATTTTCACAAATAATGAATGTAATGAAAAAAATGTCATTCATATCCACGGAGGCCGAATGTTAGTGTTAGGTTATCTGCATGTACATCTTCATGGCTGAAATCGGTTTCTACACTGGGAATGGTGGCCAGGTTATTCCATAAACCCAATCAGTTTTTTTTAAGTGTGGGCTAGATCAAAAACGTTGATTATGAATAGATCACAGTTGCTGAAGTTCACTAACATATCTGAATTGCCCAGTGCTGACAGCTGAAACTCATGGGCACTAGAGGTTTGTTGGCATCATTTGCACGACATTGCACTTGAGCCAAGAGCCTGTCATGATCCATGACTGATCATGACGGAGCTGTGTGTTCATGTTATTTTCATGTCATATTTATGTCCATTAAGCCCTTTGATAAATAAATTGTGGACACAAATAGAGAATGTAATTTTATATATGGCTCTGCTTTTTATCAGAGAAAAGTTCCAATATTGCATAGGGTCGACTGCTCGGAACTGTATCTGTCCACATGCTCCTCTAATCACATCCACTCTTAGATCTTGTTCCACCATATCCTTCAATCTCACCCTGTACTGCCCTGCACTGGTGACATCTCCATAGCGTTTATCATTGCATCCTCTTTGCCTCTTCTCAGCACATGCCCACACCTTCTAAGCCTCGCCTCCCATAATGTGTCAAGAATAGTAGTAACCATTGCTAAAAATCTGACTTTTTTTGTTCCTTTGGCTATTTTTGTTTTTGCAATAACATTGCAAATTTTTTGTGCATTTGAAATGTTGTTTAAAATTTAATCGTAACATGTACCTTTTAATGTCTTACTTTCATTTGTTGTCAATTAGTGGCATTCGAAGAAATTAATACTTAGTGCTTGCTCTTGGCACAGGTGGGAGACATTCCTAACAAGAAGCCTCCCAGGCTGATCACCCAGTTCCACTTCACCAGCTGGCCAGACTTTGGAGTACCCTTTGCCCCCATTGGCATGCTGAAGTTCCTCAAGAAGGTTAAAACCTGCAACCCACCATATGCTGGGCCTATTGTTGTGCACTGCAGGTATGATTGTTTTTGATCACTTTTGTTGCATATAAATAACACATTCCTGCGGAGGGAGCTGGTAGGAACGTTGGGTTGCTCGGTCAATGGCCAGGGTCAACGGCGGCGTTGTGTATTCAGCAAATATGGCCGACTGTGAGGGCGGGCACAAGCCGGCGTGAGTAGGTTAAACGTTGAGTTTTATAAGGGCACTACGGAGTGACCAGCCCCACCCCTCTCACCCCCCCACCCAGCACCACCCACCCCACCCAGCCCCTCCCCACCCACCCCACGCAGCCCCTCCCCACCCTCCCCTCCCCACCCAGCCCCACCCTCCCCTCCCCACCCACCCAGCCCCTCCCTCCCCACCCAGCCCCTGCCTGCACGACGGACGGACACAATAATCCCCTGTGGGCTGGTGTAACCAGGAGGTTCCTACCAGTATTAGACTGCTATTTTATAGCACTCTAGAATATCTATGTAGCTCCCTTTACCTATAACCTGTATGTACTTGTGACACATTTATTTACTGTTATTCAGTTCTACCTCAAAGCTGTTTATATGTACATTGGCAATATCTATTTTAAAATTGTTATTTTAATTTGGAACACACATAGCTACACCACTAAATGTCTCATTAGCCATCCAAATAAAAACAGTTATGCACATTTGCATGTGTGCATGACCAAAACTTACATGCAATGCTGAATTCACATTCCTGCACTTGGGAACCGTTATTTTTAATATAAGTTTTTTCTTCGACTGGCATTGCCTGAATGTCACGTAATGTCTACCACAGCAACAATCATTCCACGAGCCAGATGTGTTTCGCGGTCTCACATGCACGCGCCCGCTCGCCCGCTGCTGCATGTTCCCTTGCTCAGCGCGGGCGTGGGCCGCACGGGGACCTTCATCGTGATCGACGCCATGCTGGACATGATCCAGACGGAGCGCAAGGTGGATGTGTTCGGCTTCGTGACACGCATCCGCGCCCAGCGCTGCCAGATGGTGCAGACGGACATGCAGTATGTGTTCATCTACCAAGCCCTTCTGGAGTTCCAGCTGTACGGAGACACGGAGCTCGAGGTCACCTCGCTCGAGAGCCACCTGCAGAAGCTCTACAACAAGAACACTCCCTCTGGCTGCACAGGCTTGGAGGATGAGTTCAAGGTGCAGCAAGTCACAAAGACAGTGTTTGCCAAACATGCCTCTCAATAGAGCTCTTTAATGAAAGGCTCCTGCCATAGCTTTGTGACGAGGGGGGTTCGTGTTACATAAAGTCATGCGTGGCATTGACTGGACGGCTGTTCATGGGGTTTTGTTTTAACCTTAATTGGGGGAGGGGGGGGCATGGGGGAGCGGGGCTGCTCTGGACCGATTCAGATATGACTCACTACTGATGCTAACCATGGTTCGGGAATAGAACTAAGGTCAGCTGGGCTCGATTGACCCCAAAAGCAATGACGTATTGATTTTAAAAACATGACTAGTATTATAAATACTATCTTATATTTTTATTGTTATCAAAAAGTTTTATTTACTGTGGATTATTTCAGTCAAAACAGATTTTAGGCTGACTATAGCAGCTGGATTTTAGGTATATTTTTTCCAAAATGCGTAACACTTCTTTTTTCACTTATGGAAATGTAATGAGCCTAATTAATACCAAAATACATGTTCTTATAGATGTGAGAAATATTAAGTCAATCTCCTCGTTTACAAAAATAATTGTGCAAATACAAATTGGGCAAACAGAATTTACAGTGCTTTGTTAGTCTACAACTGGATGAAGGTCCCCCCATGCCACGTCAGTCATGGGGGTTGTTTGACCATACTTCACCACGCTGGTCAGTGTGGGGTTGGTGAAGGGGCGCACAGAACCAGCTCGGAACGTTTTCCACCGATTTTAGCTGGGAATCGAACTTTAGTCTCCAGGTTCATATTACATTGTGCCAACCAATGTACTAATTACAACTCATTTGGAAATGTGCAATTAAACAACATGTTATCTCTTTCAGAAACTAACGACTGTGAAGATTCAGAATGAAAAGATGCGCACTGGCAATCTCCCAGCCAACATGAAGAAAAACAGGGTGCTTCAAATCATTCCTTGTACGTGGCACAATATATTTTTGGACAACAATTTTATTCCATAGATGGGCACCTTTGATTTGCCTTTGGGAATAGCAACCTTCGCCAATTTATTAAATGTACAGCACATTCAGCAAAAGTGCTTGGCTAATGATCAAGGTTATTTTATCACTTTAAAAAGTGACAATCTTACCTTTTGCCATTAATGCCACACACAAAGCGTTCCCCCGAGTTCAGGGGCACATTAGCATTGATCTGCAGTATTTGATTACCCAAGAGCCGTCTAGACTTTTTCGCTCGCCATGTTGCCACATTAATTATCTGCTTGGGTCTGCTTTTGTAAATAAATTAATGAGGTCTGCAATGTTAAAACACATTTTCACGAAGCCTTTTTACACAAACGTTCCTATATTTTGACATCGGTAATTGCCGATAATAATATGCGCAGCGAATAAGTAATTGTTGGATCAAAATGTCAGAACAATCTTACCTCTAAATTTCATATAAGGAAAATATGTAAAGCTCATAATTTATTGAGGTAACATCGCCATCTGCTGACTGTAAGAAAATGACAGTTGTGCAGCAATGCTGCAAGAGCAACCGTTGTTTGTTTCATGGCTCAAGTTCAAACGTTTACAGTGCTGACTTCACATTGCATGCGTGTAGATTTGTGCATTTTCTTTTGATGTGTTTAATTTATTGTTGTGTTACAGATGATTTTAATCGCGTTATTATACCTATGAAGCGAGGAGAGGAATTCACCGATTACATCAACGGATCTTTTATTGACGTGAGTGCTTTTTTGCATATATATGTTTTGTGTAGAATAATAAAAACATTGGTCTAGAAACAAGAAATAAAGCGTAACTCTGCTTCACATGTACAAAAATGTGACATTTGTTTTGCACAGCAAATAGAACGTTTTCAATGCTTTTGCTATATGAATAGGATCTATGAAAATACAGCAGAGGTTTATACAGCCACTTTAAACAAGCAAAACATCTGCACAGATATATAGGACTTTGTTACAAACATCTATATGTGCCGCCAAATTGAATTGATTATTGCCAAGCTATACACATGCCACCTAATTGTGTTTGCCAATGCGGCTGAGCAAATACAATTATGTTTGGGAATCAATCCCCACATGGTCCATGGCGAGAGGCTTCGCACCTGTTAAATAGCCTGATATTTGCTTGCAGCTCTGCTGTGGCCATGAAATTGATTGAGCGCAGTGATCTGCCATACAGTCACAGGAACTGGCTGTGACCTGTGTGAAATAAAGGTCACCTTCATGTGAATACACTTCGTGTGTTTGTGCATCAATGGGGTTAAAAATACCATGGCAGTCTTGCCCAGTTCATATTTATCTTTAAGATAAATGATTAAATTTCGATTTAAAGCTTTCGTGACTGCAGGGATTCATCTTCTTGGTTCTTTCGGTAAGTCACGTAGAAGGGAAATAATGAAATAATAAAAATAAAACATAATAAAATAATTCTCACGACGTTTCGGCCACAACGCAAGCAGCCGTCCTCAGGTGAAGAACAGCTTAAATATACGCTGCCAAGCCTGGTGGTGCCCATTCAGACGCTGTCTTTCCGACAGACCTGTTTTTCGCCTGAGGACGGCTGCTTGCGTTGTGGCCGAAACGTCGTGAGAATTATTTTATTATGTTTTATTTTTATTATTTTATTTTTTCCCTTCTACGTGACTTTACCGAAAGAACCAAGAAGATAAATGATTAAGCTTTTAATTTTAAACCATATATTTGTTCAGCACGTTTATCAATAACATTGAAATGATATTTAATAGGTGACGTTTCAGGAAATGGCCCTTCTTCATATCACTTATGTATATATGACATCCTATATTAGTGTGAAGGCATATAATTTGTATGTTTTCTTTTATATTTTGAAACATGTTGTATTTAGGGCTATCGGCAAAAAGATGCATTTTTAGCTGGCCAAGGTCCCTTGCAGCAAACGGTTGAGGATTTCTGGCGGATGGTGTGGGAGTGGCGATCCTGTTCCATCGTCATGCTGACCGAGTTGGAGGAGAGGGGCCAGGTATTGTTTCCAAGATGTACATTTGCTTGTATTATGGAACCCACTTGATTGCAGAACTTTATCTTCAGCCTTGATTAATCCACTGCTGGATGAAAGCCTCCAAACGTCGTCGCCATCTCTCATGGTTCTCCGGATGCAACAATCCAACTGGCACCTGCACATGAGCTTATTTCCTTGCTCCAGCTTCTTTGTAGACGTCCTCTTGAATGTGTTCCATTCCTTGTTTAACCATACTTCACCACTGATCGGTGCTTGTTGTGGATGGCGATGGGGTGGAACCCAGCACTGGTTCAGATATCACATGCATCAATGATATTAGCCATGGCCAGGAATCGAATATAACTCATTGTGTTTGTAGTTTAGTCCGCTATAACTGCTGCTCCACTGCTCTACCCCTTGACTTATATATATAGAGAGATAGAGATATATGAAGAAAAAATTGTGCGAAGAAATTTATTATGGGTTTCTAGTTTTACCAACTATAACTTATACAAAAGAAAACAAACACTGTGCCAAATGCTTTGTTTCCAATATATTTGAACTCGCAACCTTGGTAATAGAACCATTAAAAAAAAATTGTTTCATAGTGCTCATTAGTTTAGTTTGTACTTGAATCTGTATACAAATGTATGCAAACTTAATATTATTTTGCAATTTCTACCGAAGTAAAAAAAAGAGTAGCAACTTGTATATTCAATCGTAAAGTAATATTTTTTGTCAAAGCTTACCATTGCAATCGAGGTAATACTGCACTGGTGTAAAACTCAACCAATTCGTAAACATCAGCAGGGCACGTATTAGAACAAAATAACGTGTTGATATTTTTTGTGCATGTGAATTCAGGAGAAATGTGCCCGGTACTGGCCCACGGAAGGCACGATCACATACGGCGACATCATCATCGAGCTAAAGCAGGAGAATTCGCACGACAGCTACACCGTGCGTGACTTCAGCGTGTCTAACACCCGGGTGAGCTGCTGCTATTTTTATTTGAACCACACTTTGCGCGCGTTTCTAGAGTGGTAGTGTAGCGGTCAACACACTGCGCTACGAACCTGGCGGCCCGAGTTCGATTTCTGCTCACGGCTAAATGGGCACCTAGTGTGATGTGTTAACATTGCCACATGGTAGACAAAGGCAACCGGGCATTGTGCTGGTTACCGACCCTGTGGCGGCTTTAATATGTGCTAAAAAACAGTACTTTCCCCAACAGTCTTAAATGCTATATGGGGCATCTTTGTCTTACTGTGAAACTCAGCATGGCAGTCACCTATGACAGGTCCTTGAGTGCATTGTTGTTGTGAAGCATTGTGGGTAACATTATTTATAAAGAGAACATTATCTATAAACAAACCTCCATTCTTTGTCTCAGCACAAAAAATATATATTTAGTCATTGGTTTTCCAAGCAAACATTATCCAGCAGCATTTGTTTAAGCATGCCAATGCTTAGTACATGATTTGTATGTGGAGACATAATGGAGGCCTGTTTATATCATGTACAGACAGATTTTGTGGACTTGAAGCAATGCGGTATCTCTTTGCATCTCTGTGCATTATTTCATATCTGTATATACAGTGGCAATTTGCGAACACGATAATAGCAGTGTATTAACTGTATATGTTTCAATTTTAAAATGTAAGGTGAGGAAAAAAATATTCGTTTGCTTTAATTAACTTTAATTGACAGTATTAGCCAACAACAATAAATATAAAATGAGTAAATAGGTTGATAAATAATATAATTGAGGTTTTCAAGAAAATAACTGGGGTTTTTAGGGTTTAAAATCGGGATAGTGTCAAGATTAATGGATTATGAAATTATGCTGATTCCAGCATTGAAAACCTAAAATATAATGTGTGCACTTTTATAAAAAGTTGCATTGCAAAAGTGAAAAATTACACTTCTTGGAAAACGAAGTGGTGCCAACAAGTGATGTTTTACATGGGGACAATTATTTCCATTTTAATCCTTTCACACTTTGCATATGTTGTCCTTCAGGAAAACAAGAGTCGACAGATCCGTCAGTTCCATTTCCATGGCTGGCCGGAGATTGGCATTCCAGAAGATGGCAAGGGCATGATCAGCCTCATTGCTGCTGTACAGAAACAACAGCAGCATACCGGCAACCATCCCATCACTGTGCACTGCAGGTGTGGCATTTTGCGTGGCTATGGTTCGGGAGGGTTGTGACAGATGCCTATTCTCTGTGTGAGATTAAAGCAGTAAAGGCTCGTTAGCTCTCTTCTAAATTGACGGAAGCAATTTCACTATTATCATGAAAACAGCCATATGCGTCAGCGTAATGTGATAAATCACCCAAATGTAAATTGGAATTTGCAGAATTAACTGTCATTTACATGTCACTGACATTTTAAGTAATTCTCCCAAATATAGTGACCTCTTTTAACACAATGTAGAAAAAATGTAAACAACAAACAGATATTTAGATTTTCACTCATACGTGCACAGAATTCTGATTATTGCTCAGATCAAATTTGCTTGCATTTTTTATATACACACTTTAGGAAACGGAAATAAAATTACTTTTTAATTTGACTGCGTCATTGTCATTTTAAACGTGTCTTTTATGATGATGACGTGGGCTTCTTTCACGGTAAAGTTTGGAATTTTCTTATAAATGGGTGTCACATTACCGTTCGAGATTTTAATCATTGTGGGGCATCAAAGCAGTTCCTTAAAGTTGTCTTAGCCTGGTTGATGTTCTTCACCCTGCTTCTGATGGTGCAACTTTTTTTCTTACTTTGCAGTGCAGGCGCTGGTCGCACTGGCACATTCTGTGCCCTGTGCACCATCCTGGAGCGTGTGAAGACGGAAGGAATTCTTGACGTATTTCAGACGGTAAAGAGTCTACGAACACAGAGGCCCCACATGGTGCAGACCTTGGTGAGCGATTTCATTTGTACCATTGGTCCTTGGCTGGACTCTCATCGCAACGCTTGCTTTAATTTGGAAATGCATTGTAATGTTGGTGTTGCTAAAATAGCATTTCCCCAAGTCTAATCAACCTTTAAAACTTCATTTGAGATTTCACAAGTTGAAAATGTATTTACTGTAAAGGTTTATCTTATGAAATGCAAAGGCACTAGAATACTGTTTTCATGTAAATAAATATAATTTAGCTTGTTTCGCTTAAGATTGTTGAAAACTCACGCAAGAATACAATTATATCTTTGATATCAGTCGCGTGACATTCTGGCTGCCTTCCCGCTTGTCTGTGGTTTTCTGCGCCTCAGATTCATTGTCTTTCATGAAGGGGTAAATGAAAACTGCACATTCCCCATCATTATAATCTAACTGAACATTTTAATGATAGTATTTGCAATCAAAAATGGCAATTACTTTTTGCATATAATTCCAGTTATTTAATCCTTTCATGCATCATGCCAACTGGTGGACTGCTGTGATTTATATGACTTTGAAATTATATTTTTAAAATCACATTTTACATGGTTCCTTTGACTCCTATAATTCAAATTAGTCTAATTCCTTAAATCACTTTTAATTTAATACTTCATGCATTATAGGGTTAATGCTACCCCAATTACCAAATCCGGTTGTATTAACATACGGACAGCTATTCTGTCTCCTGTATATGTTTCCTGTATATTTACTACGTTAATGAGCCAAGAATGTCTGTGTCACGTGCGTGACGTCACTCCACGTCGGCCAGCCCCCCTCATTAATCATCATGAACAGTATACTTTCGGTAAAGTCACATAGGTTCAAAGAAAATAACAAAAAATAACAAAAAACTACGACGTTTTGATCGCAACACAAGCGTTCGTCATCAGGAAAGGAATAAGAGGGGGACAGCTGCTGAGGCAGACTGTTTTAAAGGTTTATAATAGGTGTAGCCCAAGGGTCATAAACGAAGTGGGTGGGGCTAGTGATGTTAATGTGAGAAATTAGCATGTTAATGTAAGATTGGTGAGCCACCTCCATGACGAGGGGACGGAAGTGGCTATGTTAATGTGAGAGATTAGCATGTTAATGGAAAATCGCAGAGCAGCAACGTCGATCTCGGCGAGCGAGGTGGCTGTGTTAGTGTGGGAAATGTAACCTGTTAATGTAAAATCAGAGAGCCCGAAAATAACAACTCACATTGGAAAGTGGTAGGATGGGAACATCACAGCCAGTTATGACTTAAACTGGTTGATAACGTCCTTCCAATGATTGCTCAGTTTATACCCATCTTCTCGATTGAAGTTGTGTCTGTGTCTGTATATGTGGATGGTTTCATGAACTAATCTTTGTTGATAGCCAGTGGGTTTGCAAAGTACCTTCGTCTTTGAGAAATCAATGTCTCAGACCGTGTTTGTGAACATGAGGCAGATCTGAAACACGGTAGGACCAATACCTCGGCCGTGGCCGATCATTGTATTAGTGCGGTGGGCTCACACGAAATTGATTTGTCTAAGACGAAGGTACTTTGCAAACCCACTGGCTATCCACAAAGATTCGTTCATGAAGCCATCCACAAATATATACACAACTTCAACCGAGAAGATGGGTACAAACTGAGCAATCATTGGAAGGATGTTATCAACCAGTTTAAGTCATAACTGGCTGTGATGTTCCCATCCTACCACTTTCCGATGTTAGTTGTTATTTTCGGCTCTCTGATTTTACATTAACAGGTTACATTTCCCACACTAACACAGCCACCTCGCTCGCCGAGCTCGACGTTGCTGCTCTACGATCTCCCATTAACATGCTAATCTCTCACATTAACACAGCCACCTCCACGCACACGTGGGGGCCACTCTCTGATCTTACATTAACATGCTAATCTCTCACAGTAACATAGACACTTCCGTCCCCTCGTCATGGAGGTCGCCCTCCAATCTCACATTAACATGCTAATCTCTCACATTAACACAGCCACCTCCACGTACACATGGGGGCCACTCTCTGATCTAACATTAACATGATAATCTCTCACATTAACATAGCCACTTCCGTCCCCTCGTCATGGAGGTCGCCCTCCAATCTTACATTAACATGCTAATCTCTCACATTAACATCACTAGCCCCACCCACTTCGTTTATGACCCTTGGGCTACACCCATTTTACACCTTTAAAACAGTTTGCCTCATCAGCTGTCCCCCTCTTTTTCTTTCCTGATGACGAACGCTTGTGTTGCAATCGAAACGTCGTAGTTTTTTGTTATTTTCTTTGAACCTATGTGACTTTACCGAAAGACCCAAGAATATGAATTCCTGTAGTCACGAAAGCTTTAAGTCACTCCACATGGGCGGGTGATGTCACTCCACATGGGGGGGGGGGCGAGGCACCCCCTCCCCCCTCCTCAGCGTCAACTTACAACCCTCACTACAAAGGCAGAACCCTCACGTCACGTGATCTCCGTAACGCTGTTGAGACATCGAAGTAAAAAGGACGTCATGATGAACAAGGGATTATAACCTTAAAATGAAATAGGTCTGAGTCACCGCGCCCTTACAAATTGTACATGAATTGATGCAATGATTATCACGTCGCGGTCTGCTTTTCGCTTGCAAGTATCAGATTTACTGAAATACACCCGTCGTCCTTGGATGGGCAAAAGGCTCGTTGTAAATTATAATATTCCCGAATACCAGTTGGCCAAAACATGAAGATTATATTGTCCTTTCAGTGACCGTTTTTATTAGTTTGTTACATTCTGAAACATTAACAATTTGGTCACTACATAGTTACTTTATCAGTCACTTCTACTATCGTATATTTTTCAAAGTTCAGTTGCATAACTTTTGTTTTTATGAAAATTTGCAATATAGTTTAAAGCTATCCTGCTGTTTTTCAAGATAGGGAATATGTCAATAAGTCTTTTTTTTACTTCTATTTTTGTTGTGGGACCATTCAACGAATAGATATTTTCCATTATATTTTTTATATATTCTTCCAGCGTATTTATTGGGGGTTTGAACCCCGTCATTGATTAGTTGCAACCACCTTTTGAGATGTCATGTTGGTTGACTTGAAAATACTTGGTGTCTGTTGAATATCAGTCCCCAAGGAGCAGTTTTTAAGCTTTTGTCATCCTTGTTTGTCATTGTGTTTTTTTCCCTTTCAATTTACAGGAGCAGTACGAGTTTTGCTACAAGGTCGTACAAGAATATATTGAAGCATTCTCTGACTACGCCAACTTCAAGTAAAGCAAAATGTGTATAAAAAAGCCCATTCCGAGAGTGGAAGAGCTTGGCTGTAGCTTGATATAAAATTGCATTGATTTCGATTAAAGCCGCAGTCGATTCTCCACAAACTGATTCCTCCCCCCCCCCTACATTCCAGGTCTTAATAAAAATGCTTTACAAACCACGGTGTATGCTTGCAAATGCAGTAAAGAAATTGCAATACAATGTATTCATTCCAAATAGAAGGCAATGGTCATTGTTTGAGGCTTCAGTAAATTAGCCGCAATTCCAGTAGCCTTATTGCATGGAAAGTTTGAAAGCGTACCGTGTTGAAGGCTCAACAAAGCTACAGACATATCTTTTGTGACCAAAATTAAAATAATTTGCATTGCACAGGGTCGACCATTCATATTTGAAAAAAAGGTCTTTTGAAACTTAGTCATATGGAAGCAATGCCTTAGAGGCCTTCAACTATATTCCAATCTCTCAATTTCCTCTCTGGAGACATTGAGAGTTGTATATACATCACATTGCCTTTTTATATGTTCTCTTTCGTAACTGAAACACGTATGTAATGTTATGAAGCAAGTGCATTGTCTTAATAAATGCACTCAATTGAAAAATATTCAATCAGCCTCTAGAATATGTAGCATGTAATGTGACATTTTCAGTTACCATTATTTAAACATCGATTACAAATGTATTATTTCTGTTCACTTATTGTTTTTATATAATAAAGATCGAACATTTGGAATGGGGGGAGCAGTGGCGCAGTGATTAATGTATTTCACTCTGAACCTGGTGACCTGAGTTCAATTCCAGACCACAGCAAACATCTGTGGCCAGTTATATCAGAACCAGTCCTGCCCCCCCCCCCATCACTAATCTATGATCAAACAACCCCCAAGACCGACGTGGCTCGAAGGATTGTAAATTATTCTTACATTTTCTCCCAATTATATAAAACAGTTATAATTGGAATGCAATGTGGTTGATTCCGGTAGTCTGAGGGTTCCAGCACCACAACACTGACCATACGGCTAATAGTCCCTTTCACACCTTAAAAGCTTCCTACAGCACAGCTGAAGACATTTATTAGAACGAAATGGGGATGCACCCTCCTTTGTAGGGAATGAACCCCTTGGATCTTTCACTCCACACCGTGTCGCTGAGAAAATTGCCCATGTCACATAACGTGACGCATTGGAACAAAAAAAATGCAACTAATCTGACCTTATTTCTCTCTTTGAATTAGTCTGTTCCTTACCAATTTTTTTCAAATCCTGTACGGTAAGCGTATCTTTTTTTTCAGTAAAAATGTCATTTATGCCCCGAAGTAATATACTACATGCAGATAATAACTTTCCTTTAACTTACAGCAGTGAAGTGGTAACGTAGTGTTTTGTGCACTGCAATGAACTGTATTCGATTGATGGCCAGTTAAGAGTGATGTTTGAACTGGTCCTGGGCTTCCTCACTTTTGTCGAAAACCCCGTCACCAATGTCGGTAGCGTTGAGGACTTTTCCTCGCGGTGGATTAAGAAAGGGGCTGTAATTCTTTCATTGGGGTAACCACAGTTTTTGAAATAAATAAAAATAGATCTGCCCCATAACTCCCAGTGGCACATTGTGTGGCAGGCTATACGCATGACCCATGTTCTCGTGCACACTGACTTTGAACAGTATCATTACCGTCAATGCATGTTATATGATTATGCTTTATAGTTGCTGGATATGGCTCAACACGAATACAATTGGAGTCGAGAGATCGTGTGCAGTTAACTAAGAGCTATGTTATAATTTGTTACACTAATGTCAAAAATGAACGTTTACAACATTGCCCCTTTTTACCAACTTTTTAGTCAAAGAGATTGAAATTGTATAGTATGCTATAATCACGTTGGTTACATTTATTTGTAAATAATTGCTGTTTATGCTGCCATTTTAAGCGGTTCCTCAATGTTGGTGGGATATTTTGCTACGCGCTTGTAATTTGCTTCAAACGTCACTTGGATATCTCATTTTTATGTGTACATGTGTTTTGGGAAATGCCTATGTGAGACATGTAAAACTTTAAGCAAATTGAATGCTTCTTTATGATGAAAATTTAAATTGGTTTAATTAATATTCTTGTCTTAGTCGTGACCGATTTTAACAGCAAGTATTGTACAAAAGGAAGTGTGGGGATGATGCTCTTTGGGCATTGACAATCCACGAGGTACCGTGAGCACAAATTTGTAATTGTTAAACATTGGTTGCTTTTTTTATTGCCAAACAGCTGTTGATTTGAATTTTATAAAAATGAATGTGACACTCGCTAACTCTAAAGTGGTTCTATTTGTGACTTTTGAACATTTTGTTATTTTTTTTAGAGCATGAAGCCAAAAAACCCAGTTCGTAATAACTTGTTAAAACCATGCAAGTAACATGTCGATTCTTGTGTAGTTTTGTAAATGTTAACATTTGATTCTTGCCAGCATGCACTTGTATGGTCAGCTATTGTTGCCTATGAGCGAAGTGTATCAATACAATCAATTCAGGGCTATGCTTCATTCCATGGGTATGTGGGACATTTTTAAACCAATATAGAGGCCATGTGAATAATTGGTAAATGCTAATTATGCTTTTCTAAGTACAAACGGTATGCTAACACATGGCTTTGTATACGTTACCTTGTTATTCAGGTCAATATTACCCTCGTGGTAAAGATTTGTACCCAGCGGGTTACCATTCAGGGCACTGGGAAAGAGAGGACCCTATTGCACCCTCTGGGTATAGTATTTCTATCTGGAAGGTAATAGTAAGTAAATGCATAAGTTGCGTACTATGGCATTGTGTTCTTCTTACAAGAGTGTTAATTTTAATATTTTCACGTATTTATTTTCTTTTTTTTAGGAGTTTAATATTAATACCTTTTGTTATTTCTAAATGGATGTTTCACAGACCCCTAAAATAAAGTATTAATCAATGTGAACCTACTAATGACATGCCGTTTACCTGATTAAACCATCTCTGACCACTATTTGTTATTCTGTAAAGAGCATTCCTTATTCACGTTTGGTATTGCAGCTCTTGTGTTGTTTTAATTTTGCACGATTGCTGAGGCGGAGGCCCAGAGGCCCAAAACTCCAAGCAACCAGCAACAAATAGCACGATTGAAGGTGTAATAGACAAGTAAATGTTTTCATTAATTGAGCAAGGTTACAGTAACTTTGGAAAATAGCCAATGGAAGGGAATTCTAAAGTGCAGTGTGGGAAAAGGAACAAATACAAATGTTGGGACCTGCAGTGGGGTGAGTGAACACTATATGGAAGAGAGGAAAGTCAGTCTAGTTGCCCAAGCATTCAACTTGGATAGAGGGATAATTTCATGGAAACCGTAACCATAGCAATAGCATCACAAGTGTAATACAATGATCCATTGCATTGAATTGCTTAGGACTATACAGGGTGGTATGTCCCAAGATAGATAACACGGAGAGCTGGACTATGGTCAGTGTTGAAGAATTATTATACGTCTACTGCTTCATATTGGGAATGATCAAAGGCGTCTCTTAAAAGTGAACAATCTCATTGTGTCCGCACAATTAGCTTCTATAATCTTAATTCGATTGTAATAGTTTGAGCACAGTTATTTTGTCAAAATTATACCTACAAGTTATAACCATCAGATCAAAAGCAAACCTAAGATCTATCGTTTGCAGTTTTTTTTTTCCCGATTGTAGTACAATGTGCAATTTAATGTAATCATTTTTTCATTATTTTCCTCAGTGTAGCAGACTGGATTTCAATAGATTTCTTATGAAGTGCATGGAAAACTCGATCATTCGTTTAAAACTTTATGCCTCGAGATGTATGCAGGGCACACTTTAAATTCAGATCAGTCTCCATGTTCTCACACTGCATTCTTTACCGAGTTTAAATTGGGTTATCTGATTTAAATCCGCCTCTACTCAATTTTGTGCTAACACGTCTGCTCCTTGTTTAGTATAACCATGCAATCATGCAACGGGCATACGTGTACAGCTATGTTATAATATATACGTTAATAATCGTGTACATGACGTGTACATTTCTAAATCATAATAACCGTATCAGTACGAGCACTGATACTGGTTTGGGTGTTTTGAACGGTATCACAACAAAGACATAAAATGCGTTAAGCAAACCTCACAATAATACAGGATTATTATGGATATGCGTACCTTGCAACTCGTGGTAGTTAGTGCCTTACGCCGACAATTCTTACTTCTCAGCCAGCTTTAACAGCGTTCTGGAAAATATCGTATGATCAATGAAACCCTTGCGTATGCGTTTAAAATAGTTTTGCTTTGGTGTTCAGGTGTGACGCATAACGTAAGATGTGCTCACAATGTCACCATCACGCTACTTTGTCGTCGTCACGTCCGTCTTTGGTCGATGGCGATCCGAAGACGCTATCGATTTTGGTTTTGCAATTCTCTGTCCCGCGACAACTCTTCCTCACCTCTGCTTTCAACCCGTGCCCTGCCCATGTCTCTCTGCGGCGGCGGCGGTGGCTATAAATACAGCAATGTGATGCACAGGGCAAGCTCCATTGCTGGCGGCCACCACCTTCAGACACCACCTGTAGCTTTATACAACAAGTCGGCCAACATTATTACTCTTTTTTGCTGATAAGGTAAGGCTTTGGATTATTTTATTCCTACAGATATCAAACCAAATGCGTCTTAGAACTTGAATTTTAACGTCTAACAGACGCACGACTTTACACGCGATTTAAAACATTTAAGAACATACAAATATGTTTTATATCTTTAAATTGTGTTATGCTCGTGTAGAGAAGTGTCTTATGATTTGTTTTGTGAGTGACGGAACTCAGCCAAGAATAATGTGCCATGTATACATGATAAAGTGGGTACTACTGTATTTAACTTATCGCTGCTGTTCTTAATTTGTGTCTGAAGTACCCTGAAAGTTTAATCGACCAATTACACGAAAGAGCCAATTGCATTAAACATCTGTTCGCTGGGTATAAGTGTAATTACTGTTAAACAATGTGTTCTGTACGAACGGCACGCTTGGTACATCTGTCGGTAGCGTGGGTGCCCCAAACACTTGAAGTCATGCTACATTGACTAGGACTATACATTAAATCTTCAGAATAACACTCGGTTCATCAATCTCGTATCCAAGAATACACATTTTGTACACAATTGTGCTCAACCTACACGAGAGGCGATCAAACCCCATACGTTGATAGTAGCAAAAGCGTACACGGCATTAGACGAAGACTGTATACTTCGTTTCAGACCAGTCATGTATATGCGATCGTGACCGAATGATACAAAGTATAATTATGTTCTAGAATAAATATTACATTTGACATATAGTCGAGACTACGCTTAAAAGGCACAATTAAAATAAAACCCAACATGTCAAATTCGGGCACACAGAAATGTTAGCCCTGTGTTTGATTGCTTTCAAAGGTCAGCATGAAGTTCTACATTTCTGAAAGTCTCGTGTTGAACATTCAAAATATACTATCATTACCAATGAGCCAAGTAATTGCCTCATGTTCATCGCGACGGTCAGTGTGGGATTTTGAAGGACGCGGGCAAATATCATTCGGCACGAATGTTAATCGTTGTTTGAAATCAAACTCAAGGGTCGTTGGTTTCATAGCGCAGTGCGTCTAACCACTGCACCATCGTTACACCCCAGTATTAAATCATACTAACCCTAAATAACGCATACATGTTGTGACGTTGCGTGAATTTAATAATAAGCATGGGTACGAAGTTTAATATTAATCTAGGTTAGTTTTATCTTTTGTGCTGTGTTCAACCTGGAGATAATCTTCCCTCGTCGGTTTGTGGTACTGTCACTTATGTTTGGAGTACTTTAAATCCCTCATGTGATACAGTTACTTTTATTCTGATGTTTATTTGTTTTGCTTTTATAATCGTGTTGACCCAGGTCATTAAACTCTCATTGTCTCTTGAGTCCCCACCTATATTGGCTTCGGTGTATTGTCGTACCGGGAGGCAATGCCAGCTAATAAAGCAATGACAATTGGAGATGAACGAACGAATCGATTGCTGTCTGTCCCTCGCGCTGTGGAGGATGGAACGCGTGTCGCTGTCCCTGGTGCTGATCCTGTGGCTGCTGACGGCCCCGCCGGCATCGCTGGGGCAGCATTGGTCGCACGGTTGGTTCCCCGGGGGCAAACGGGGCGTTCAGGAGCCGCCCCGACCCTCCTACGAGAGCGTCAGACCGTCGGATGCTTCCCCCTTCACTCCTGTGAGCTCAGGTCTTTAGGCAGCGGACTGGCATCTTGTTTGTTCACGCTCTCCAAATGGGTTTTCGGGTTGTGCCATGTGTTGGTCGTCAGGGAATGTCCGACGTTTCTCTCCAAGTATTGGGAGCTTCTTTGGGAACTGAATTCCGTCCATCCACGTGTTGGTAGCTTCTCTGTGAATTAACATAGCTAAATATGTATTATTTAATTATTCGAATATGACTACACACTTAAATTTCGATTTAAAGCTTTCGTGACTGCAGGGATTCATCTTCTTGGTTCCAAGAAGACTACACACTTGTTTACCCTAATTCAACAGTAAAATGATAATCTTATATATATTTTGATCGAATCTGTTTATGTATTCGACGGACGTAACCGTCATAACCTATCTACCCAAGGCATCACACCAGACCAAGCTAGCACAGGATGGAAAGTTAAGTTATTCCGATTGCCTGTATGTGTAGTTAAATCTGAGCGTATGGTATCACGTACAGGTGTGCGTGAATTTTGTGTTGGATATGACCAACTCCATTCACATTTGCAACTGATTTAATAACGTGGTATAATTTGTAACTATTGCTGTTTTTTCATATTATTCTTAATTTCTTGTATACACTATATATAGGTATATTATTTTGTTCAAGTTTATGAAGATTGTTTAATTTGTCTACCTATGTAACTTCGCCTGTCATTTTTCGCCATTGGCGCCCCCCCCCCCCCACTTACGCCTCGCTGGGCACCTGTTGTAAAAAGAGCTTCAGAGCTCCTCTGGTTCTTCCAGCCCAAATCAAATGTCTTTGCCTTTCACGCAGGTGCTCAGCAGAGCAGGCGCCGAATGCCCTGTCATCGCTGACACCGACTACCCACGCATACACCTTTTGCGCGACGTGCTGGTGAGTTTCAACGAAACTATTTTATTTTACCAGGAAAAGCTCATCGAGCTATTAGCCCTTTTTCAGAGGAGGCTTGGCCACGCATGATAGCTCATAGAAGTGGGTTATGTTATATGTGGGAATTTATTGTAGCAGGCAAATAATCTAAATGCATGATTCTAAATGTACAGGGCCAAACCGGAGGACCTGGTAAAAAAAATCTACACTACTACAGGGAGAGAGATCACGCGAACTCAAAATAGACAGGCATCAGGGTTGGGATAGAACCCACGACCTCCTGCGTACCAGGCGATACCCCATACCAAGAAAACACGCATTTGGGTCTCATCTTGACGAAACCGCCGATACACAGTCGCTGTGACCATTTGTTCCATTGTTGATAACAGAGACATCGGCACGTTTCGGAATAAAAACATTGGACATTCGCTTCCAACAAGTGAATCGGGCTCAATTGGCAAGATTTGATTATTAACAGAGACAAGGAAAATGTAATAAAACAAGACAGAATGAAAACCGGAGTTACCGTACCGCAGCGTAGTCCCGTGAGCCACGTCTTAATCCTCGAATTAAGTAACTGCATCGTCATTACTTGTGATGATATATTCACTGTTGGATGAATGCATCCAATTAAGCCACTGCAACAGTAAACCTAACATAAGCACTGTACATGGTAAGTAATATTTTGAGTTGGGGGCGGGGGGGGGGGGGTTCGTATTGCACAGTCTTATAACGGCACCAACATCCCAGACTTCTTGAAAGTCAAACACCCAAAATGCTGTGATGAGTATGATGGCCAAATGACAACGGCGGTGTGTGATGTTTGTTATGCACACAGGTGGAGTTAATGGAAAGAAATTCACAGAAGAGAATATTTCATCGGAATGAAATGCGAAGAAATGTTGGTTAGGAAACGGATATCCATGGCCAGGACGTATTGCGAGCTTGTATTCGTGCATATAGTTGCTACTTAATTTGATTTCTCACAGCTTTATATGCTGTAATATATAACGTATCACAAACGTACGCTTAATTATACGTAAAATTATACCTGATTAAACTTCGTTGTACCTGTATAGTTAAACTGTGTAAGCCATGCTCCACGTTGTATACTAAACATGATCAGTAACTCCCGTTGGAACTTATTTAAAATATTTATTGATATATTACAATATGATAATCAATCTAAAATTGTGTTATCAGGTTAGTTGTTATCTAAGCTTTTTATTTTATTGAATGTTTATTGTGCAATATGGATATTGTAGTATTCTGCGTAAGCAAGTTAATTACTCTTTTCAGCAAAACATTTCATTTTTCACAAGACATATTCATTGCATTATAGCCTCCATTTGAGTATAATTATATGTATCCTTTATTAGTTTTATATTCTGCAGTGTTTGTTTTTAATTAGGCCAATTGCTCACTGTGGTCAATTGCCATGCCGTTCAAACTTCCAATACTATCGTCCCATTACCAGCTTTGGTGCTCAGATGCAAGTCTGGGATAATGATCATCATGGCTCTGAATATTGGACACTCAAGAAATTCGTGACATAGCTGATGAGTAAAAATGACATTAAGAGATTCTCTCCTACCACTGGATTGCTTCCAATAGCATAATAAGGGTAACTAGTAAGAAGGAGATGAATAATTATAGTATCCACAATGCGAATGATTCGGTCTATCATATTGTACAGCCTTGATTTTAGGGAAAATTCGCAATGGAAAAAAGATGTATCATGCTAGAAACACATTCCTGCGGAAGGAGCTGATAGGAACGTTTGGTTGCTCGGTCAATGGCCAGGGTCAACGGCGGCGTGGTGTATTGCGCAAATATGCCCGACTGTGAGGGCGGGCACAAGCCGGCGTGAGTAGGTTAAACGTTGAGTTTTATAAGGGCACCAAGGGGTGACCAGCCCCTCCCCTCCCCACCCAGCCCCTCCCCACCCTCCCCACCCTCCCCACCCAGCCCCTCCCCACCCAGCCCCTCCCCTCCCCACCCAGCGCCTCCCCACCCTCCCCACCCTCCCCACCCAGCCCCACCCTCCACACCCTCCCCTCCCCACCCAGCCCCTCCCAACCCACCCAGCTTCTCCCTGCACGACGGACGGACACAATAATCCCCTGTGGGCTGGTGTAACCAGGAGGTTCCTACCAGTATAATAGAGCGGCTATGATAGCAGTTGTAACTCGATGCCTGTGTGTATGAGGAGTTAAAACAGAAGCGAAAAGCTGACTTCTGCATTTGTGTAGAGATACTCATTTAGAAGTTCTTCACTATAAAAAATGTACTCGAATTCCGAACTTGAATGTGCTCTGAAGAAAGGGCCATTGCCTGAAACTTTACCTATTATATGTATTTTATTGTTTAGGGCAGTGTTGCTGGCGAGTGTGTTGAGGTTTGTTTTGGTGATGGTCCTTGTGTGCACCACTGCCACCGCGGCAGAATCAGCAACCAATGTGTTTCACCGAGAGCACGCTGTCCAAATCGCGAGCTTCTTGTTTTTTTCTGGTTTCTTGTTTTGTTCTGGTTTCTTGTTTCTGTTCGACGGCGGTGTTATGTGCGAGTGGAACTGGTTTATCTTAAGGGATGGGCGAAACGGGGGTGGCGGGAGGTCCGACCTGGAACGTTGCAAAATAGGGTTTCCAAAAACTCTAGTCCTCGCGATCCACCACCACGCTACGTCTTTCCGCGTCTACCAATTAACTCCCCGTTCAATTACAAACGAATTCGTTGTATCCCGCACGTGCCTGATGATTGTTAAACACGCCCCACGTAACGTGCCAAGCAAATAACGCTGTTGACTTAAATAGTGCTTTCGATTTAAAGCTTTCGTGACTGCAGGGATTCATGTTCTTGGTTCTTTCGGTAAAGTCACGTAGAAGGGAAATAATAAAATAATAAAAATAAAACATAAGAAAGAACCAAGAAGATAATAAAATAATTCTCACGACGTTTCGGCCACAACGCAAGCAGCCGTCCTCAGGTGAAGAACAGGTCTGTCGGAAAGACAGCGTCTGAATGAACACCACCAGGCTTGGCAGCGTATATTTAAGCTGGGTTGGAGGGGGAAGAGCGCCTTTGTCAAACGTCGTGAGAATAATTTTATTATGTTTTATTTTATTATTTTATTATTTCTCTTCTACGTGACTTTACCGAAAGAACCAAGAAGAGTTAAATAGTGCCGTTTCGAATTAAGATGAAGAGCTCAGTGTGCGTGTCTGTCCACGTGTTATTCGTGTTCCATGTGTGTATGAGTGTGCGTGTTCTTTAGAGCACCACCTGGGACGTGTTTAACAATCGGGTGCGTGTGGCGTAGAAAGAGTTCATTTGAATGGGGATTACATTTGGTAAATGCGGAAAGAAGGAGCCGTGGTGGTGGTGATGGGTGACAGGACTGGAGTTTGAGAAACCCTGTCTTGGAATGGCGAACCCATCTGCTGAGCGCAACCATCGACCCCGATAGATGAGTCCTGTTTGCGAATGGTTATTTTGTTTCTTCCTCCATGAAGCAGTGTTTTTAATGGTATATAAAATATTTCGACACATTGCGCTCACTGGGATTTCAAAAGCACGGCTACATCAGCGTTCGCAAACTGCTTCAAAGCGAATACATCGGGGTAACCGTTTAAAATGGCGCAATTATCATATTCTGTAATTACTGCCACGTGTCCTTGATCTCATAATAGAGAGAAGTAAGAATCCTGCATTGTGTATTTTAATACCCATTATTAGTCTTACACTGCGGTATTCGACAAAGCCATTGCAGCTGCCGCACATTCATAATGAGGACAAGGTTACTCGGTATAGCCTTGCACGTGCGGTCGTGTTGTCTAGATTAATTGTTTCCCCGTCTTGTTTGATCTATTATGATCATTTCTCCGGGCTCGCGTCTTTGATGTCCCGATAGTAAACACGCGTTCCGATCGTCGCGCCGCGCTGAAGGAGCCGTCCTTGAACTTTGCACGCACAGAGACGTGTGCGGTTTGATCGTGAAATAAACACATTATTTATTTAATCGCAACCATGCACCTGGTTCTTAGCACATTGACGGACGTGTTTACAAATAGGTTCGGTTTCTGTAAAATCGTCAATAAATGCTGGGGGCTGGGGGCGGGGGGGGTAAGAGACAGAGAAGCATGGAACACACGCGCGCACGTAGGAGCGCGCAACACGAGATGTGGGTCCATGAGCGCAGACCGGACACTTTCACTTTGTAGGTACCACCTGATGTGGCATCACTTTAGCGATCTTCCAACGTCTTAATGTGGCCAACGACAGTGAAATCGTGCGCTGACCATTTGAATTAAGTGGGTTATCGAATAATACCATTCTTATTCGCCGTATAAATGAATCGATACCACTTAAAGTGTTGCTATTGTAGGTGGTACCAATTTGTTTTTGCTCTGGCCCATGGATTAATAATGACAGCAGCGCGTCGCAAGGCTACACGTGTAGTGGTTGGAAATATTAGCGCACGTACCAATAACATACAAAACTCATTATACCAACGGGACGCCGACTAGAACAGTATGCACAGGCATTACGGGGGCTCGTGATTACATTAAGACAATGCGACCCTATCCGTATTGTTTAACACGTTTAGACGCTGCAAATAAAACCATGCCGCACAGCGCGTGGACACGTGTCAGTCTCGCAGGCTGTTGGAGTTGATCAGTTCCAGCATCGCTTCCGCAGCCGGGGACTGCAGGCGGAGAGCGGAGTGCGGGAATGGGCGCTCCCCGGGGGAGTCTCCCCCTTCCCATCCACAAGACGCATCCTCCGCGCAGCTCTCTGCGAAGGCACACGTCGTGGCATCGTCACACACGTGGTGGCATCGTCACAACCGTGCAACAACACCAAGGCAACTACCACCATCATCATCATCATCGCTACCACCACCATCATCGTGATCATCGTCGCAATCACAATGATCGCTAACATCATCGTTCATCGCTACAACTGCCACTATGATGATGTCCATCATCGTCATCATCATCGCTACCATTTTTTTACAGTACCACCATATCAACCACTACCACAATCGTTAGCATTATCCTGACCGCCATTACGATCACTACAACCGGCACCGCCACCCCCACCAGCGTGCACAAGTATTGCCTTGCATACTCTTAGGTTTTTTCGGTAAAGTCACGTAGGTAAAAAATAATAATGAAATAAAATAATAAATGAAAATAACTAAATTAAATCACGGCGTTTCGGAGGCAACACAAGTCTCCGTCTGTGTTGCCTCCGAAACGTCGTGATTTAATTTAGTTATTTTCATAACTAATTATTTATTTTCTTATTATTTTTTAGCTACGTGACTTTACCGAAAAAAACCTAAGAGTATGAATCCTTGCAGTCACGAAAGCTTCAAATCTAGAATTATTGCCTTGCAGTCGTCTTTGTCAAGGTGGATTCCTCGGATCAGGGCCAGAGACATTGAAACGCAGCGAAACTTTACGTTAATGAATTAGCTCTGGGTAATGCTCCAACTGCGGCTCCCATCCTCCCAAAAGCACGTTTCGAGAGGTATTCTACACGATAATCGTACAAACAGCGTCGGACCTGAAATGTTGGTGTCTCTCTCGCACCGACATTGATCAAAAGACGGGCATCAAAAGGAACACTGATAAGCTCCAGGGGTCAAGAGGTCACCGTCTTGAAGTCCAATAAGTACGGACCAGGGGATCAGGGGTTTAGGGTACCGAGTGAAGGGCGCGTGTTTTTCGACATTGCACGTAGACGGATCTCAACATCAATGGACCCATCAATGGACATCAACACCTTCACAACCAACCAACCAACCAACCGCCCCAAAGAAAGCCACTGGAGCTATGCAGATTTAAATCTGAATTGAAAACTCATTTAGTTTCGAACTGCTTTTTGCGTTGAGTTTGTTGTCTTTCCCCCGCACCTCCGATTAACAATGTTGGCTACGTACGGTGCGAAATAAGTTGAACATACATACACGTGGAAAAAATAACCAAGTTTACGACGTAAAGAAGGTGCAGAGACACAGACTGTGGCGTCTCCACCCACTCTCTGCGGCATTGATCTGAATATGATATTGTGTGGTGAGGAACGCGTATAAAATCGAATTGCTATCAATGAAAAAATTCGAGTAATGTGGGTTTATTTTTGTGATATGATGTGTGTCTATATGTGGTTTTTGCATGTTTTGAGTGCCAATGATGACATATAAAAGTAGAGTCGGCGTTACTAGGACCACACGTTACAGACAAAAGAATATGTAGCATATATTCACTTGAAAGCATTGAATATTCTTTTGAGCCAAAAGATCCATAACTGCACGGGGTCAGCTGATTTATTTTTGGAATGGGAGAAAACACATTGGAATGGGTGGGATGACAGATGGGTGTCAATTAGGATGGGATTTCAACCAGAATCAAGAATGGCTGGAATCCCACGCGTCCCCGCAATGCGTTCTGAGTAAAGGGCTTTACGTGGTCACCACCCCGTCACAGCTACACCATTTTAGAGGTCCTGGTTGAAAATACTATCTTTATATTTACTATTTCTATTTGACCAGGCAAGGCCCACTGAGCTATACAGGTCTTTTCGTAGGTTTTTACCCTTTTAAACTGGTACAAAATTGACACCTTTATTCAAGGCATCATGTTTGCAATAACCACAACACAAGTAGTCAAAAAAGCAAACAAAAAGAAGCAACTCTGATAATGATAATAATATGCACTGTCCTTGAAGTTGATTGGTCCACACCCGAGACGGCTTTCTTTAGAGCCTAGTCCCCATTGGTGTTGGACCAGATGGCGTACAACTCAAACACAGTGCAATATACAGGTCTTTTTAAGAAGCAACCTGGCCACAAATGATAGCTCAACGAATTGGCGTATTATGTGGAAATGTATAGCAGCCAAATACTCTTAACGTGTAATGTTGATTATAAATGTGAAGGGAAAAATCGGAAGACTCGGAGAAAAATCCACACGACCATGGGGAGAACATGCAAACTCCAATTATACAGGCGTCAGGGTCGGGATTGAACCCACGACCTCCTGCATATCAGGCAAGGGAGTTTATATCTCGCCACCGCGGCGCCCATATTATGTTGTAATGGGGGCTTTTTCTACGTTGTTACTGCAGGAAGCCTTCGACTCTCTAACTTGGTAAAAGTAGCAATGTACACGGTGACAATACCTTCGGCCATACAACACAGATTGGTTGGGATCGACCCGTTCATGATGTGTTGCTCACATTCGAGGGATGGAAATTAATGTGACAACAAGGGGTGTGAACTGGGGTTCAATTACTTTCCACTTTCCCTTGGGAAATAACTTTGCCTAACTCCGCCATCTCCCACCGCTTCCGTTGTTGCTGCGCACCTGCAATATTAAATTATCTGTGTTGTAGACGGAGCGCTCTTGACCAATAACATCTAACAACCCAGCATTATTGGCTGAACAATCCTGACTCGACTGATAAGACCATTAAGGTTGAAACCAGTCCAGAGTGCACTTGTTTAAACAAGTGCTATCTTCATAATATTGGGTTGGAAGCCTATAATAGGCTGATACACTGCAACGTATTTTGTTTTAACGGATACTATTCATGTATTTAATGATCTCAGTACGGCGCTAGCGTGGTACAGATGTAGACATGGCTTCATTTCAACCTGGTCGGTGATCCAGGTGAAACATGTTTCCACATCCAGCACATCACGTGCAGAATAACGAATTGTTTTGAGTCAGTGAGACTAAGAGTGCTTTACATCACATCTAATCTAAAACACTAGACAATGCACCCCCAGTGACAGCTGCCCCTATAGGCACAAGGTGACTCAACACCTGGCCTGAAAACGGGTATTAGTCTGCCAGTAGGAGGCGACCATTGCTATATATAATCTCAATTGAGCAATTTTAAGTAATGTGCGGGTAATTTTCGAATTTGTATTGCTATGTCTATGGCTACTAGTCCCTTGTCACCTACTTCTGAAACGCTCTTCCTTCCGATATTAGGAATCCACTGGAGCTATGCACTTTTAAATCGAGATTGAAAACTAATTTCTTTAGGACTGATTTATCTGTTTAGTTTGTTGTCCTTCCCCCCGCACCTCCGATTAGCGCAGTTGGGCTACGTACGGTGCGAAAGAAGTTCGATATACATACACACGGAAAAAATAACTCCGTGACAAACGAAGCCGTGGGCCGTTGCAGAACCTCACCTGACGAGCAACACAGGCCGGGAGCTCCGCACTTCCCCCCGTGACCGCACGGCTCCCCTCGGCTCTCGCACGGAGACGGCATCAGTCGCTCGGCGCGGCAGATGGCCACGTCCGGGCCACCCAGGCGACAGCCCATGGCCTCCCCGCAGCAGATCCTGGGTCCAAAGCATCGGCCCTGGCCGCCTGGCCCACAAGGCAGGCACTGGCGTAGTCGTGGTCGTTGTCCAGGCGTCACATTTTTGTAAAGGAGAAAATGCGACAAACAGCGTGGGTGGCGTTTTTTCGTATTACACCGAGTGTCGCTTGTGTATGCGTACTCACATGCCAAGAGGGAGAGAGAGAGAGTGGGTGACTGCAAATTCTACTTCTCGCGTATAGCTCTAGATTGTGTGTAAAACGCTGAACTTGAATAGCGAGGTTCGTGAGCCACAAGTGTGGTTTCGTTGATATACTCGTGGTTCCTGTCACATCTCAAAAGAAATTGACATTGCTTAGTTCAGACATGTCACGGTGCATAACACGACGTTTGGCTACGTACCCTGCGAAAGAAGTGCAACATATGTATTGTCAATAGCGGAAGACCAATGCATTATTCCCAAATGTAGACGCTATTAATATCTGTCTCTTGCCAGTTGCATAAAACAATCCAAAGTGAACATTAGCTGTGGGTAATGGAAATGTTAGACGTAAGTGATTTTATGCAACTGACCCTTGGCAAACAAGATACCACTGCTGGAACGCGAGAGAAAACACACATTTTAAGCGAGCAACTCTAATCCTTTTCAGCGCGCACACGTTGAATCACTCTAAAGTGTTTCTAAGGAAAGTGTAATACATTTAATTCAACGACATCGTCACAAACTCCCTCGTAGCGGCATGCACTTTAACGGTGGTTCGCTCAAACCGAGACGAAAATCATGCCCGCACTCGGTTGAGGGCACACCTGCCGGACACTGTCGGTGAGATCGCGCTTTCCTCCCCTCGGGCAGTTCTGGATGTAACACGCGGACGAGATCAGCACCAAGGACAGCACGCTGACAGCCAGCGTTAGAGGTGCGCAGCGAGCCATGGTGTCGATACAAGAACACTCGTCTGAGTCAAATGCAACAACGATAACGGCAGCTCGTGTCCTAATGCAATCCAATCATTAAGATGTCGCCTTATATACGATGAGAGTGCAGCTGATCCTCATCTGTAGCACATACCACCCCCACGATACCCCCACCACCACCAACTTCCCCCCCAACATGACCATAATCGTACACGCGAACAAACGCATACACACACACACAGGTGTGTCACATGACTAAGTAATGAGACATTTACAGATTTCTATTCCCGCTTTCAACGTGAATCAAAGTGCGGCACTCCATCAATTTTCTCGCCTACAATATTTTGGCCCGCACATTATCCCGCTGTTCGAGCAAATTTTTTTTTTTTTACGAATTATACGCATATAAAATGCACGCGCTAAATGTTGAAAACGCTTTCAACAAATGAAAGCCCTCATTTTGGACACACAAGTCCTTGACGCCGACTGTGTCCCTGAGCACGTACAATGCATTATCTGCTGTGCACAGACTAACCGAATCACATTACTTTCTACTGCAAATTGACGTATATCTATGGACGCGCGGAAGTTGGCGGCGCTGGGTCATCTCGGACATTTAAAGCACGATGCCGCGCAAATCACTGCATTACGAGTCTTCAATGGCTGTCATGTTTTGCCAGTGTCTGACATTGTGCGAACAACTTAGGCCAACTAATCCACGTAATGCATGTTTACTCACTGCCCGTGCATGCTTTAATCCCCTTGATTTGCGTATTGAAGGCCAGACAGTAACAAACACATTAAGAGTTATGCACGGTGTTGTTGCACTTTGGTGAATTGCTTATATATGTGATATATAATTGGCGAGGCACGAGTTCTGAAATAGGAGGCTTCTGTCCGCTGCATGTTCAGGCGTGACTGGATAATATACCTAACGACTTAAATGGCAACGTTTGTGTTATTTGGGTTTATAATTAATGTATGAGTGGTGTCAAGAGTGAATTAAGTTCGAGCATAACAACCTCTCCAAAATGAACTCAACCTCTGTTGGAATAACTGCACTCGTCTTCTAGAAGTACAACCCTCTACTTAGCAACTATTTATTATGGCCATTGTCCGATGGTTTGCAAATGAGAGACTTGCTTTGGAGTGTGCAATAGGATTGTGATACGCAGGCTGTAGCAGCTCAAACACTTCATTTTCTAGAATCAGTTTCAAATCAAATCAAATTGGACATCTGTGAAAAAGAGCTTTATGGGTCATCGGATTCCTCCAGTAGAAATACAAATTTCTATTCTGATTCTGAAATTGGAGTTTAGATTTTGTAAGGACAATATCAGATCCTTTTTTTCGCAGATAGATTAATTAATCAATTGCATTATGTAGTAATTCAACGTGTCTTCGTGCTAACAAAAGTGACGTCACCAAATCCGATGTGACACCACTATTGGCAGGGAAATTACGGGCGTGATTTAATGTCACGTTATTTGCCCAGACGTCAATCTTCCGGATCATCCAATATTTCGTACCTTGACCTGGTTTTCTGATTATCTTGGATGAATATGAAAAACTGGGGAGCACATTCCTAGATTAAGCGCACGTTACTTTGTATTTTAGCTAATATTAGTGTCTTATAACAGAGATTTTCTCAGCTTTTTTTCAATGGATATCTGGAATAAATTTCAATTTAAATTGTTCCTACCGTATGACCTGTGCTGGGCAGAAATGTATTATGTTTATCCCTTCCACACTTCAAGGAGGCGAGTCACTATGTATAAAAAATTTAGTTGTAAAGGAAACATAGCATCGACATGACCTGATTATGTTTAAATTGGCGTTATTCTTCATCTTATACTGATCTCTAACCCAACACCAATTCAATTTGAAATTAATTTCATAGTAGTTGGTGTATTTAATCTATGGCAGACTTACTATTACACGTATTGTTATATTGTTTTAAATGTAATTTTGTTCATATGGTTGGCTAGCCACAAAATTGTCAATTATTTGGTTACCTATCATCTTTTTGAATAATTGATATACAAGTGTGTGTTCTTCCCGTGGTCGCGTTGATTTTTCTCCGGGTCCTTCAGTTTTTTCCTCCACATTTAGAAACCTGCGTTTAGAGTATTTGGCTGCTATACATTTTCACGTGATAAGCCGCTTCGTTGAGCTATTATTTCAGGCCAGGTCGCTTCTAAAAAAGAACTATATAGCTCAGTTGGCCTTACCTGGTAAAGTAAAAATTTTTTCTACACACGCTTGCTTATATGCAACGTATACTTATCGTCACACATAAATAAGCATACTTTTTAATACGTACAAATTATTTGGTGATACGCCGTTGTTAGTGGCATACAAGTACAAAACAACTCAACACATTAGTCGATATCACTGGCTTAAAACGAAAAAATATAATAGGCGACGTTTTGGATAATGGCCCTTATGCATAGAACACGCGTAGCAAATTGTGTTAAGTGTTTTTCTTTCTTTCAAAAATACCCTTCTTTTTCAGAATTATAAAAAGTACAGCTTGTATAACACAGTAACCATTTGCATGCTTTGTAATTTCATGATATTCGCTTTCACAAAGCAACCATATTTTTACGTAACAACATACTGCAGTGGTGCTTGCACAATGGTGGACAAATATTGATTTGAGTTCTTGAAGCATATTCACCAATCATCAATTGTCTGAAGCTCAGATGGTGAAGTTACACGTATTACAAATGCAGAGAACACCAAAGAAAGCCATTGCAACATTCCACAAATTATTCACATATGCCTGGCGTCCCATACAACTCGTCTGAATCAATTCTGTCGGTGTGTATTTTTTTCTCTCTCCAAGGTGCATCATTAATGACGAAAGTGGATTTTATATATTAACAATCTGAAACATTTTGCCATAGCGATCTTGGATGGATAATTCACGCGTTTAAATGTAGCGCTGAGGAAACCGAAAGGCTCTTCTTAAAGCATTTTTTTTATACAATGGGTAAAATAAAACTGACCTCGAGTCTTATTCATCTGCCGTGCTTTGTGATGAACATGTTTGGCGGACATTGCACGTGTGCGTGTGTGCTATCATATTTTAGTACCCTGCACCTGCGTGGGCCTTTATATATGGTGCAAAGATGCACTTTAAAATGGCATTTCGTGTCAATAGATGTTTTAAAATACGCGTTTGACTGTTGGTGATCTGCGGAAGCGTGTCGCTGGTAAAATGTATGCGAGTCAAGGTGGGGCAGCCGAAGCCAAACATTGTTTTTTAAGGCTCGATAACAAATGAGAATCGTGATTTTGCGCCCTGTGTAATTTATATTCTGAAGGCGTGCGGGGAAAAAAATGGTTTGATGTGTTTTTGTTATTTTTCGTGACAAAATATATATTTTTAAGCATAACCTAATACAGTCATTGATAATTTTCCACGGCACACAAACAAAAGATCAACACTCATTTTAATTGATCATTTCATGTATTGTCAGGGTGGACCAAATTATTTAGGATGCATTGTTTTTGTCTTTACGAGATGATATGGCAAGTATGCAATTATGCTTAAAATGTAATTTAGCATTACATTTTTTTAGAAATGTGTACAAACTTGTAAAGTTGAATACTTGGTTGTTTTGGGGGGGGGGGATCAAGAATAATCACACCTTCGGTCTGTGACGTAAATCATTCATGCTGCTGAATAAGTTAATAACATAGTCACTGTGGATTGAATAACGAAGCCATACGAGTAAAGTTAATTCCCTTTAGGGATTTATACTTTCACCCTAGATTTTCTTGGAATCAGACATCCAACGATGCATCGATTTAAATAAACTAAATGCTTAGCCCTTCTTTGACCATCTTGACTGCCGTTTTTTTTCTCTATTTTACCTCTTCCCCCATCCCCTCATTCTCCTGGGTGACTTCAACCCCCACCTCAATTTGCCCTCCATCTATGCAGTCCTCCTCCCTCTAAGCAGATCATTTAATCTCCACGCCCCTTACCCTATACATCCGGAGACACCCCGGACTTCATGTTCCTCCCTCATTGCACAGCTTCCTCCATCAACACAAACCTCAGTCCCCCTTTCTATCACCTTCTCCTCACCCTCACCATGTACCTATGTATGTTGAACTTCTTTCGCACCGTATGTAACCAGCCGTGTTAATCTGAGGTGCGGGGACGGACAACAAACTGTGAAGAAGGACAAGTAATCATCACTTTACCCTCGCTTCCCACCACGATCCCCTGAGCCCTCACACCACAATTCTTCCCACCGTCATCTCCGTTCTCACCTTTAACTCTTCCCCTCACCGCTTCCACCCACATCTCTGCTACTGCTCGCATCTGCCGCTTTTATCTATTCAACATCATGAAAGTGCCGCCCTGGTATGTCAATGCATGTTGCCAAACTGCTGGTTGATGCTTTGATGTTTACAAGGCAATTATCTTGTTCCCCCTTGCCTCTGCTCTCACCCCCCTCCAAACGAATTCAAAATGTCCCCAATAAATCTACCACTTCGCTTCCGCCGTCTCTTCAAATATCTGATGCTCATCTTTAAATCCCTTCATGGCGTTGCCCCGCCGCACATCGCCTCTCGTCCTCCACGTTCCTAAACGTCTCCCTCTCTCAGTCCCTCCTTCTCCCTGTGCCCAATCCCCTTTGCGGTCCTGCCCCCTCCTTGCACCCCATCCACTGGACGCGGTTATCTGGCTTGACCACCTCCACGTGGAATTGTAGTTGATGCTCTGTATCTGCTTCTTTCGCCAAACGAAAGAATACTGGACTAGATGCCCCCTCTTCATTAAGCGGTCCCCTTCCTTCACATCATTCCGTTCCTTTCTTAAAGCCTCACCTCTTCTCCATTGCCCATTATCTTCTTCTTCCCTCCGCTCGATCAAATGTTTTCTTCTTGAATGACGCTTGGGAAGAAACAGTGGTCAAACGGTGATTTGCGCACTGAAATAGGCGTCCTAAGTTCGATTCCCAAGCCACAGCTACTTCCCCAACCCGTACTGACCGAAGCAGTGACGTATGGGGACGATCAAACAATGAGCATGACTGACACAGCCGAGCAAGGTCTCCGTTTAGTAAGTGGACG